AATATGGATCCGATTTCTATGTGGTGCCTCACCTCTACGGCAGCTTTAATATCTCAAAAAAAAAATTATATCCACCAACAAACCACACGTGTGCACAGATGACCGAGGTTACAACTACAATTGTTCTGGTTTTCAATTCATGAGTTTTGCAGCAGGGAAGTTTACCTCTGCAACACGATATCATTTCCTGCTTTTAATTCATAACACCATACTTGTGATCCATTTCCTATCCCTGGGTTTAGATCCTCAAATCAGCCAGTTTACTGCTGAATACAGTTGAGCTTCTTGCAGCTTAAACCTCCCTAATGATGAGTGGGTGAAGGCAAAAACAAACTAAGTGCTAGACTTAATACTTTTCAGGTGAAAAATTATTCCAGGCTAAATAAATTCCAATGCTGCACCATCTGCTGAATGAGTGAATGGAGCAGTGTCTGGTTGCTCCACCCAGTGACTTAACCATCATCCATCAGTGCAGCTTAATGCAAACAGATGCAGAACTTCTCTTTTGTTTCTGTTTCTTGAGAAATATGTATTTTAACTTATTGTTGGAATAAAAAACCTGTCCTGGTCTTGCTGGATCAAATCGGGGATTTTCAACTCATGGCCCTTTAGCCCCTCTAAAGAGGCTCCATCCACATGAATTGGAATAATGTTTATATTTAACTGTGTAGCGTTATGACTATGCCATTCCTGCCCTTAACAGCTGCCCTTTGACACAGTGACAGTGTGCATAAATTGCCAAGGTCGTGCGCTTGCTTCTGGTGTTTACATTCCAGAAAAGAAGACAGAAGAAGGACGAAGAACGCTTTTCATTAGTTAATCAAAGAACTTTATTTCTAATAAAGCTAATCAAAACAACTGTTGGTCAATAATAATCAGGTGACTGATCTGTGAAATCACAATGTTATGATTTATGTGTTTCAGTGAATAACAGGACTTTGGGCTAACTGAGCCAGACATTCTGATCCCCATAAGGTAAACACATGACACATTGTTCACTCATCCAATCAGAACTTCCTTTCTGTTGCGTGGCAGAGTTCTGTGGTGTTTAGTTAATCTGTCCACTCCGATTGGCTAAGATTCATAAACAACTAAGTTTAATAAAACAGAACAACGCCATTTTAGGTCAGTTCCATCAAGTTCCAACAAAGCATTCAACGTAGTTCAACTTGGTTCAACGCAGTTCCAACCAAGTACTCGACCAGCTCTCAAATCCATCATCGCTAAGAGAAGTACAGACTGGCCAGCTGTATTTTCTACTTTTAAGCTGAGAACTGTCAAGCTGGAAAATCCTGTCGTTTTACCAACAAGACGACGGTTCCTTCAGAATAAAAGCTGAACTCTCTACGTGACGCTGAAACCTGCCGTTGTACCGGGAGACGTTCCTTAGACTGGTTTGTCGTGCTGCAACGCTGTTTCACTGGTTCCAGCACCAAAGGAGGGTCCAAGGACCTGGCGTCCGGATCTTACACGGGGGTCTCCGAAACGGTACGTAGACTCGGCATAGATGGCGTCTCATGTCTTCCTCCTGAAATCCATCGTTATTAGTTAAACAAAACAACATCTTGCCCTCAGACTCGCCTCGGTCAGATGGAGATTCTGAACTGACACACACACACACCAACACTTCAGCTCACATTCATCTGCATCCATCTTTAGAGAGTTAGTCCTGGTGATTGTTTCGAATAATTATAAAATAAATATTCTTAAACGTCCCATCTCTCTTTTCTTGTCTCTAACTCAATACAAGGTTTTTGAATAAATTCCCTGTGGTAAAAAACAACCTCTTCTGATTCTAAGTGCCCGGTCCAAAGATTAATCTCTGGACCTTAATAAAGTGTAAGAATATACCAACTATATTCCGCTACATTTAATGGCGAGCCTTATCCAGATATCTACACAGTTTTAAAGCACTTTGTGTTGAGTTTGAGACATATTGGGACTCTAATAGCCGTCTGAGTTAGACAAAACAAACTTCTCTCATTCAGCTAGTGATAAACATTTGCTTCACAGTAAAGGGGGGTGGACATTAGTCACCCTCCACAGGAGGTGCTGTTTCATCAAACCACTCTAAGGCTGATGTGGCACATAGCGGCCATTTCAAGCCTACCACTGAAGGTGTATTTTCCTGTCTGGTATGTTGAATACTGTATGTTTTCTTGTTTGTCGCGTGTGTTTGTGACACTGTGTGCAACTGTTTGTGAAACTGGAGATAGAGATATCCCCGTCGGAAGTTACTTCCGTCCTGTAGCCGCTTGATCCACGTCTACCGTCCCGGTCAACTCGCTAGCATTAATCGAATAGCATTCAATCGCTAGCATTAATTCGCTAATAGCTGAAGTTAGACACGGAAGAGCGCCTCTGCACGCCCAGAGTGCGGACGCTAAAGTCCAGAAATTACCACGTCGCTCACGCACGTTCGGTTGCTCGGACTGGTCCGTTTGGACCGTAAAGCCCTGGTTTCTACAGGCATTCGCTAGCTTAGTCAAAGAGCTAACTAGTCACCCCGGAGAGACATACGGTGGCGCGTATCGACAAATTGTCAAGCCGTTTCGACGCAGCAATTCTGCGTCTCAAAATCCGCTATGCCTTCGAGTACTAGGTACAGTTGTGTTTGTTAGCGGCGGTTCTTTAAAACTTTCCGGTGTGAAGAATCGTATTTGGCTACGTGGCTACACGCCAAGTGACGGACAGCGCATGTGCAACAATCCGCCATTTTGAGTGACCCAACTCGTAGCTCGACCGGCCATCTTGGGCAGGTCAACAGTGAGTGATATTTGTGGCATTACTTAACGGTTTTGCCCCGAATATTCATTCGAAAACCAAGCTTCCCTGTAACTAATTCTTTAATAAGTCTAGAGGTAAGAGTTGTTTCTGGGTAAGATTAGTAAATTAAAGAACTCATAACTAATTGGAAGATGGGCCCAGAGGAAACAATGCAATTGCCATCACAACTTCTGGCTGAGATGAAAAGCGATTTCCTAACGATGATGACTGTGATGAGGAACATGATCTGCACTCTTCAGCAGGACGTCGAGGACGTCAAACATTTTGTGCGTGATTTTCAGGCGACATGGGCAGCGACCCCGTGTTTGGCCGAAAAGACGCCAGATGAGACGAGGATGCTGCAGGCTGATGTTTTGAAAGGTTCTGACTCACAGGAAAACACCTACATTTCGCCGATCGTTCCATCTGTGGTGATGATAAAGAACACACCCATGGACGATGACTCAGGTAACGCTGTCGCCGTGGCTGACGAAATACTACTGGCACCTATGGACATGCAAAAGGGGACTGGTAGACCCACAGTAAGGGTCACTGTACAACAGGGACATTGCTGTGACGCCTTAATAGACACGGGTTCGGACATTACGATCATGCACAAAGATTTTTATAACGGCATCTGCGAGAATAGTGGGGAGGGCCTGCGGCCCCCCACACTCATTCCGTGCTCGTTAACTGTCACCGATTTCTTTGGGGTTCCAGTGATCTTGCCTTCGAAGACTGTGCTCCAGGTCTCGATAGGGCCCATGAGCTTCAAACACCCCGTCTACATCGGTGAGACTATGACCATGCCCATGCTCATAGGTATGGACTGTCTCTAGCGCCTTGACTCTTTCATCGGCTACGAGTCCAGAGAACTGTTTGCATGTGTGAGAAGGCCTAAACCGTACAATCCGCCGCCTGACACTGACTCACACTGTCTAGTGGTAAGCGTTCAGGAAGGGGGCGAGACAGCGGGCTCACCGCCACGCTCAAAGCCACCGGAGAAGCCCCCTGAAGTTCTGTCCCAGATTGAAGGAGTCGTAGACCAAGCGGATGCTCTTACCAACGAGGTCGAGCGAGACAAATTACGACAACTTTTGCTAAAGTACAAAGATTTTCTTTCACTTGACTCCTTGGACTGTGGTCTAACCACTATCCATGAAGTCAGGATTCCTACACTGCCGCATGCCCCGCCGTCTTTTGTGCGGCAATACAAGATTCCCCTGGCATCCCAAGGACCAGTCCAGTAAATCATTGAAAGCCTCTTGGCTAAAGGGATCATTCGACCCTGCAACAGCACCTACTCGGCTCCGTTGTGGCCGGTAAAGAAGCCCAATGGTAAGTGGTGACTAACCATTGACTACCGGCAACTCAACAAACAGGTTCCCTTGTCTAGGTGGCCAATGGCGCGCCTGGAGCAGGATCTTCCAAGAGTGAAAGATGCTAAGTACTTTTCCCACACTTGACATTGCGTCCGGATTTTGGACGATTCCCGTCCACGTATCGGACCAACACAAACTTGCCTTCTCCTTTGCCAACCGACAATACACCTTCACCCGGTGTCCTTTTGGTTATTCCAACTCACCCTCTGAGTTCAACATCTTCTTGAACAAAGCCTGCCCCGATGCTCGAGAGCGGGGGACCCTCATCTATGTCGACAACATTCTTATCCGCAAGCGTACATTAGATGACCACCTGTCCGAGCTGGACCATGTCATGGGTCAGCTCGCGGCGGCAGGTGCAAAGATCTCTCTCGCCAAAGGACAGTGGTGCAGGTCGCAGGTTCAGTACGTTGGCCTCCTGGTGGGACCACAGGGAGTGCAGCCTCAACTTGGCAGAATTCAGGGCGTAGCCACCATCACACCTCCTACAAACGTCTCCGAAATTCGGAGCTTCTTGGGGGTCTGCAACTACTCGCGCCAGTTTGTAGAACATTACACTGAGATAGCACGACCTCTGACTAATCTACTGAAGAAGGATGTGACATTCGAGTGGGCAGAGCAGCAGCAACAGGCTATGAATGACCTGAAGGCAGCGCCTACTCGGCTCCGTGCTTGGCGCTCCCCGATTGTGACAAGGAGTTCCACCTTGAGGTCGGTTTCTCAGCTCACTGTTTGAGTGCTGGTCTCTACCAAGTTCATGACTGCGACAGGCGTGTGGTAGCCTATGTTAGTAAGCTCTTGTCTGGGCCTGAGTTTAAATACTCGGACTGTGAAAAAGCTTTGCTTTCCACCATGTGGGCGGTTAAATACTTTGCTAACTACATTGGCGGCCAGAAAATCATCATTGAGACACAGCACCAGCCAGTGACCTTCCTTAACAGTCAGCGCATCAGAGATGGTGTGGTGACCAATGCGCGAATTGCATCATGGCTGCTGGCTCTTCAAAGCTTCGACATTGAGGTGCGCTACGCCCAGAACCGACGTAGCCCTCTTGGCATGGGTTTGGCTGCGTGCCAACACTGCTCGGACGACGCCATCGCGTCAGTCCCGCCAGCCAGCCCTCCTCAGACTCTTCTAAACCACAACCACCACTACTTCGACCAGTCTTTCTGTGTGGACTTGCCGACCGTGTACGTCGATACGAGCGAACAATACTTACAGGACCTGAAAACCCACCTGCCTGCAGCATTCTCGTTTGCACAGGCAACTCTGGAGAAGTCGGCTGAAGGCAGGAACTCTTATTACGATAAGAAAGCCTCACATTCCAAACTCGACGTAGGTGATGAGGCCTGGTACTACATTATCGCTCCCAAAACGGGTAACAATAAGGCGAACTCTGGGAAGCTGGCTAAGAAACTTTTGCCCGAATGGTCGGGTCCATGCCTGATAACAAATAAGCTATCTCCGGTCGTGTATCAGATCAAGATTACCTGCAAAAACAAGGCGCCCGTCTACAAATGGGTCCACAGGGACCATATCAAACTGCACAAGGGTTCCACAGATTTGGTCGATGCCAACAACGACAATTTACCGACTTCGAAAGGGGGGTGATAAATGCGCCTCGTTGGTTCCACGATTTCGATCTCAGGTTACACAAGTTTGTATGTTTGTGTGTGCGCATGGTTGTCTTTCATGTTTATACGTCACGTGCAGACTTGGGGTGTGTTGAGATGGACATGCTGTGGGATCCTGGAGTCAGGTAAACGGCCAGGTAACAGTGAGTGGGTTAGGCCACATAGTACTGTTCTCCAAAATGTTGTGTTCTTTTGATCTTTACTAATCTTAATTCCTTATGGGTACATTAACATGAAAGTGATTACTAACTCCACTGATTTACATTTTAGTATTGATTTACACTTCTATTTTTTATAGTGTCTTTGTCAGGATGATTGAAACGAGAAAGTTATGATTTTCTACATCGATTTACCTTACAGGGCTAAAACCAATTTGGCCTCTATCCTGTCAGTGTGTATTTCGTGTGAGGATTCACTGATACCAGACAGGGTTCTTTCATTTTCTGCTTTTCGCACCATCCTTTTTGCCTCTCACACAGAGAGGGCTGCATCCATTTCTTCACTTAAAGGGTAATTCACGTAAAACTTACACATAGTACAACAGGTGCTCATAGAGTTAGGTTTTTTAAATTTTGTTTAAGGACATGAAACGCAATCTTGTCGTGTCTACATTGAAGTGCCCTGCACTGTGCTCTCTCTCTCCTCTGCTGAGCTCGTGAGGATCCTGCTTCCTGGGGGTGGACCCGTGACTCGTCATCGGAATCGACTCCTCCTGGCCCTGGACATCCGTGGTCCCGGCATGGCTTCTGGGACACCTCGTTCGCTGGGATTACCTGCCTACTGCTCTTCCCTTTTGCTGGATTACGATAAGTGCTGTTACAAAGATCAATTTACTATTTGGAATAATTCCCTGCTCATGGATACATACAAGCTTTGCTCCTGCTTTACATTATTGCCCGTGGAGATATAAGGTTGCTGTTGCTTCAATTATGGCTTCCATGGGGAATATCTAATAACCTGCTGACTTGTGTGCTTCCCGAGGAGTATGCGAGACTGTTCTTCGGCGTGGGGTTCGTACCTCACCACGGTTGGCTGTTCCAGTGGGATCGCACCCTGCTCGGTTGTCAAGATCCTCCATAACTCTGGTTTGTTCAACGACCAAGTGGTCTCTTGATGGACCACATTGACCTTGAAAAGGGGTGTATGTAGCGTTATGACTATGCCATTTCTGCCCTTAACAGCTGCCCTTTGACACAGTGACAGTGTGCATAAATTGCCAAGGTCGTGCGCTTGCTTCTGGTGTTTACATTCCAGAAAAGAAGACAGAAGAAGGACGAAGAATGCTTTTCATTAGTTAATCAAAGAACTTTATTTCTAATAAAGCTAATCAAAATAACTGTTGGTCAATAGTAATCAGGTGACTGATCTGTGAAATCACAATGTATGATTTATGTGTTTAATGAATAACAGGACTTTGGACTAACTGAGCTAGACATCCTGATCCCCATAAGGTAAACACATGACACATTGTTCACTCATCCAATCAGAACTTCCTTTCTGTTGCGTGGCAGAGTTCTGTGGTGTTTAGTTAATCTGTCCACTCCGATTGGCTAAGATTCATAAACAACTAAGTTTAATAAAACAGAACAACGCCATTTTAGGTCAGTTCCATCGAGTTCCAACAAAGCATTCAACGTAGTTCAACTTGGTTCAACGCAGTTCCAACCAAGTACTCGACCAGCTCTCAAATCCATCATCGCTAAGAGAAGTACAGACTGGCCAGCTGTATTTTCTACTTTTAAGCTGAGAACTGTCAAGCTGGAAAATCCTGTCGTTTTATCAACAAGACGACGGTTCCTTCAGAATAAAAGCTGAACTCTCTACGTGACGCTGAAACCTGCCGTTGTACCGGGAGACGTTCCTTAGACTGGTTTGTCGTGCTGCGACGCTGTTTCACCGGTTCCAGCACCAAAGGAGGGTCCAAGGACCTGGCGTCCGGATCTTACACGGGGGTCTCCGAAACGGTACGTGGACTCAGCATAGATGGCGTCTCATGTCTTCCTCCTGAAATCCATCGTTATTAGTTAAACAAAACAACATCTTGCCCTCAGACTCGCCTCGGTCAGATGGAGATTCTGAACTGACACACACACACCAACACTTCAGCTCACATTCATCACATCCATCATTAGAGAGTTAGTCCTGGTGATTGTTTCGAATAATTATAAAATAAATATTCTTAAACGTCCCATCTCTCTTTTCTTGTCTCTAACTCAATACAAGGTGTTTGAATAAAATTCCCTGTGGTAAAAAACAATCTCTTCTGATTCTAAGTGCCCGGTCCAAAGATTAATCTCTGGACCTTAATAAAGTGTAAGAATATACCAACTATATTCCGCTACAATTGATAATCAGAATATTTTTGCACAAGCTTCCATTACTTTTTTAACTGTGCATATCATTCATATCAGAATAATTCTATATTTTCTTTCTAAATACAAATTTTTCAAATATGTTTCCTACCATGTCAGTCCCCAAATAACTGTTATATTGTGTAACCTTCTTCCAAATCAGCCATCATTTTTCACCAAATCTGAAGAAAATTGTGAAAACAGGTGGTTTGCACATCTGTTGGAATTTCAAGTTATAAGCCATCTCTTTTCAGAACAGTAATGTTATAAATAACTAACCTGATATGTTTTTCTACATTTATCTTTTAAAATATGTTAACAAGCAAATCCACATTTTATATGAAAAAAAATCACAACTTTATATAGTCCAAGAAATACTTGAAATAGTGAATTCTTCACAAGGAAACACCATATTTGTGAATTAAACAGGAGACAGACAGACAGATAGATAGATAGATAGATAGATAGATAGATAGATAGATAGATAGATAGATAGATAGATAGATAGATAGATAGATAGATAGATAGATAGATAGTGTAGTGATTTGAAGATAGAGAATTTGCTTTTTCAGTCACAAATGGCCAACCCTCCCCTGAGCTAAAGGCTTCTATAATTTGACCCTTCTTCATGAAAACTACATTTCCCAGAAAGCTTCAGGTGGAGTTATGCAGGGTGTGGTTCAGATGTGTGCACGCCCACACTCACGCGCAGCGTTTATGAGAGTGTTTTCCTCCCCTCTCTCTCTCCACCGGGTTTCTCTCACGACCGCGTCTCTCTCTCTCCCCGTCCGCTCACCGAGCTTCATCGGGCGCCTGCAGCTCAGCGGTAAGTCCCGGTGTCACGGATCCACCAAACTCAGAACCTCCGGGACCGGCCTCTCCATCCGCGGGCTGAACAGAAACATCTGGTCCTGATAAGTTTGACAGCTACTCGGGAGAGCTACAGCTGATGAGAGAGGGGCTATTTTGCAAGCTGACGTACCAAAGTTTTGCGTTATTCTTCAAATAAAAGTTGTCTTTGTTTGTTTCAAACAGATCTCCTTCCTGTTGGAAATCCACCAAAGACGCTAAAGATGGTGAGTTACTTTCATATTGACCGCAGACTAATTCAGGGATTATGATTGAAAACATTTTGCTGAAATGAGTCAAATCCGTTATTTGCAAATGCCTCATTGTTTTTTACCCCTAACCCAAGGGAAACACTCACTCAGTGTTTTATTCATTCATATGTTGTTAACATCTTTTTTTAAATGTCTGAGTCTAGTTTATTAACCGTGAAAATAACTTTTTTAACTGCAAGCTGCTAATGTTTCCTCAGGCTTTATGTGTGTATAAGGGTGTGTCGGCGCATGCTCCCTGGTGCAGCAGAGATTTAGTTTGGAGAAGTTTGCTGTGTGACTCATGAGGGCTGTGTTCCATTCAGGGTGGGCCTCCACACTCACTTCCACATCTAGTCTGGAGCTGAAAGCCTCCCTCCCTCTTGTAAAGGGAAACAAACTCTTCCTCATCGTCAGGGCGGAGTTGGGATATGACGAGTGGCTGTTTATGCTGAAACTGGGAAGTTTTGTGTAAAACTAAACACTGGGACTTTGCTGTTATTGAGAGATCTGTGAGGCTGAAATGTTACCGCAAAGATTTCCTACAAGTCTTCAGCAAATGGAATGGATGTGTAATTTAAAAACAGGTTTACAGCCTGTTCTATCGGTTCTATCACGTGACCAAGGCCAACTTCATTGTGTGTGGTTTCCATGACAACCACAGTCCATGACCGTGTGATGGACGGTGATAAGACGGTCTGCTGCAGCCTGTGTTTACATAGCCTTGTCTGAACTCGTTCCCAGGACTCAATCACTTGTTAAAGATCTTTAAACTGGTTTCACACAAGGGATCTGCTCCGCTGTGGAGTTATATCAGCTGTTTGTCTCTGCAGACGGCTGTAGGTGCTTCCATTTTATGAAAAAGCAAAGCTCAGGGGCATTGCTTCTCGCGGAAACAGAATCCTCCATGTTAACGTTGATGGTCAGTTTTTTTTTTTCCATTCGTATTTTCAAGGTTTGAATTCCAGACACATTCCTGCGGCTTTACTCTCTCAACATCCTCCTCGGCTTTCCCTCCCTGGAAAAAGAAACGCACGTCTTGACAGTTTTACTGCGCTATGGAAATGATATTTTCTTCTTCTTCTTCTTCAAATGTAGGAAAGTTTGATCAGTTTGGAATGACTTCAGCATTTTGTTGTGGCCACATTCTGGTTTTCGCTGTAGATCGGTCTACTGATGCAAATCAAATTAGCTTCAAATCACTCCATCTTCTTTTGAATGACTGTGTTTCCTTTAAATGTCTGAACAAATCTGAGCTCTGCTGGAAGTCAGAGTTTGAACTGTGATGAGAGAACGTAAAGATAGATAATCTATCATTTTACACACAAACTATTAAAGGAACTAGTTTTTAGGCAAACTGGTCATGAGAATGATTAGAAATGTTTAATGACCTTTATTTTTATGGGAAGGCGTCACCGGAATAAAAACAAATATTTGTAATAAAGACATCCATCGATATAAATTTAGGAGACACATAAACTGTTTAATTACTACAAGTGCAAAACAAAGATTTATCTGGAAATGGAAACTGAGAAATGTGTTTCCTGAGTTTTTAAAGTAATTATGAATGAAGTATTACAATTTATTATGATTTATTACGTATGTATATATTGCATGCAAGAATAACTTCCAAACTGTAAGAAAAGTATTTTAGCTAATATGTTATATTAGATTTCAAATGTAGTGTTGCTACTTTCAGTAAAATATATAAGAACACTTGATTTTTCTTGCAAAAATGCCCAAAGTTGAATGCTAATAAAATGTCCATTAGCATGGTGAGATGCCACAAAATAAGAATATTCCAGAAAGTAAAATTTCAGGAAATATACAGATGAAGTAATATTTCTCTGCTTGTGTTTTTGTTTCTGCAGGCCTTCAGAGGAACCGTTAAAGCCAGTGCTAACTTCAAAGCCAGTGCAGATGCCGAGGTCCTGCACAAGGCCATGAAAGGACTCGGTAAGAGGCCCGTGTGTTTCTGCTGTGAGCTCGGTTTCATCTGATAGGTGTGCATATGCAAACTCCTACTGACCAATGAGTGTTTTGAGGAGTCCCTCCCATAGCAGATGCAGGCTGGTAATTACTGCTCTCTGCCCACACATACAACAGGGAGTGAAACATGAGCTGTGAGCAAACAGAGCGGCTGACTTTGACCTGAAGCTGTGTTTATGTGGGTTAAACAGATGTAGTCCAGGCGTAAACAGTGTGTGGTTATTGTGACGTCATTTGCAAAGCACGTGAGAGCGGTTAATGTGGCTGGTCTGAGTCATCCTGGTGCTTGTTGTTTGTAGGGACTGATGAGGCCGCCATCCTGCAGCTGCTGACTGCTCGCAGCAACGCCCAGAGGCAGGAGATCAAGGCCAGCTACAAGACCCTGTTTGGAAAGGTCAGACTGCTTCGGCTGACCCACATCGACACGCCTTTGTGTAGTCTAAAGATTTGTGAGACCTCAAAATGTTATCGGTGTTGAACATAAAGGAAATCTATGCACTGTTGTTACATCATGAACTAGGAAAATATACTTGGATGTTTTCTATTATTTGAACTTTCGAGGGCAATACTTGATGATCTTAAAGGCCCATTGTGCAGGATTCAGAGACATCTAGTGGTATAAACAGCAAATTGCATTCAAACCGAAGCGATCCTATCAGGATAATCAAAGACGCACAAATGCATCTTTTTTCCAATGAATTCACACTAAAGCGTTAACTTACTGCTCCTGTGGCAGGATCTGGTGCATGACCTGAAGGGAGAGCTGGGTGGGAAGTTTGAGACGCTGGTTGTGGCTCTTATGACTCCACCTCTTACTTACGATGTGACATCACTTCACCATGCCATCAAGGTAAGGACTTTTTTTTGTTTCTTGCAGGCAACATTTTTAGGAGTCTAACCCTGGCTTTGCCTGCGAAGTGTACTACGCAGCTAATGGCCATCGTTATAGTCGATGGGTGTGTTTCAAGCGTCTCAGAAGTGTACGCTTTTGTCTATTTTTTATGCACCATGCTTCCAGAACATGTCAAACTCAGCAGATCGAACAGGAAATCCAACATGAAAGCAGTCTAAAACTCCCAGAAACTTTAACAATTAAGACACATGCCCTTCTGTTTCATAACTAGTAAGACATGCATCATAACCTGTGACGATTCCACAGCTGAAGTAAACAGAACAGAAAATAAATCAGACCTTTCAGGATACCTGCTGCCATCTTTCTCTTTGCTTGTTATTGTGTAAAATGCTAAAATCCCGTATGATCTTGCAATTCCTCAATGATTCTGTGACCTTGCGGGACCAGGTGAATGGAATGCTTTTGCTGCCGATTTGCATCTGAAATGCTCCCAGGGGGAAGGGTCACGCCGCTGAGGTCTCAGGGATAATGCGTCTATAGCGTGCAGCTTACGCATCTGGTGAAAAGCCTGGGTTAGAAGCTGTTTGAATAGCCCTTTTTTTAAATAGAAGAAACAGCACGCCCGATTAGCGTAATTCTGCTGCCACAGTGTGCCTCATGAATGCGTTGTGGCGGCATGGCCTTGTGGCGAACTTGCAGCATTCGACACGCTTGGTAGTAATATTATCGCAACTTGTGAATGCATATTGCTCCTTGGCGCATCAGAGGGAGGTGTCATGATCACGTGGGGCGTTATTGTCGAGCTCTAGCCGGCAACTGTATTAAAAATAAACACGGGCTGTGTTTACTGAGATGATAAACTGGAGCGATGCAGCACAGGAGCTTCTTATTGTTAAAGCTGGAGTCACGGGGACTGTGGAGGGAAGACACCTTTAGGAGTGGCTTGTCAAAAAAACCTAATGAGCGCAGCTTTGATTGCAATAAAAAGCAAGTTATGTCCAAGATAAACTGGTCTGCGGCATCACAGAGACCACTTCCCTACCCACCTTATACCTCCATCGTGTAATCTTTTGTAAAAGGACACGATTGAGCCACATGACCGCTATGGTCTGACAACTTATAAACAGCCTAGTCTCCCAGATGCCGCCACGGCATTACGGCAAATTGTTTCCTAAAAGAGGCTAATGTGACCTATGGCTCATTTCTGCCTTTGTTGACCCATAGGGGGCAGGAACAGATGAGAAGGTGCTGGTGGAGATTCTCGCCTCCAGAACACCTCAGCAGGTGAAGGACATCATCGCTGCTTACAAAACTGGTAACACAACAAAACACACACTTTTTATGATGTAAAAATTCTTCTTATTCATTTTCATAACTAATCTACTGATCACTGTGGCTGAGTGAGCCACAGAAAAACACAAGAAAGGATAAAAATCTTTCATTCTCTTGTATATTTGTGATCATGTTAAAGGGACTTTTCGGACTTTTGAATTTTTATGCTTGCGATCGCCCCCTCAGGCCAAAAGCGTAACGGCAGCTTCAATAGTAGGCTCATGCTCGAGGCGCGCATGCTGTACGTGCACACTCCTTAACGAAAATAACAGCTGAGCCAGTCCCGTGTGTGTGTGTGTGTGTGTGTGGCCCGGAGGACAGAGGACAGGAGAACGCGCAGCTAATTAATTAAATAATTTGGTTCTGTACCTTTCTCTTCAGCATAGCCGACAAAGGTTTATGATGGGTCAGTCCTCCTGCATGCTCAGATCATTTCCTTCCCTTGCTTGAAAAATTGTTCCAAAATGAAAGTTGAACCCACATCTTTTTTATCCGTGAATTCAATGCCATTCGGCGAGTCTCAAATAAAAATGTGGGCATCTTATTTATGTAAAAAGAAACATTAATGTAAAAGAGAAACTTCAAATAAACTTTGTACTCACCCGTAATCGAACCCAGTGCCTATCTCCAGCGGTCAATGGGCAATCAGGCGGGGTACACCCTGGACAGAAAGCCAGTCCATCGCAGGGCAACACAGAGACACTCAGGACAAACAATCACACACACACACACACACACACACACACACACACACACACACACACACTAGACAGACCAATCAACCTAACAGTCATGTTTTTGGACTGTGGGAGGAGCCGGAGTACCCAGAGAGAACCCACACATGCACAGGGAGAACATGCAAACTACATGCAGAAAGACCCCAGGCCAGGAAGCGAACCCAGGACCTTCTTGCTGCAAGGCAACAGCTCTAACCACTGTGCCACTGTGCAGCCCTGAATGTTTAATTACTAAAACTAAAAATAAATGATGCATTATTTAAACTGTAGCATCTATGTTATGTGCCTCAGAGTATGACCACGACCTGGAGAAGGATATATGCGGTGACACTTCAGGTCACTTCCAGAGGCTTCTGGTTATTCTGCTACAGGTAACTCTTATTCTCTCCTCATTTCTTGTCACCTCCCTTCTGCTCCTTCACCAGAAGTGTTTTGCATTTTTCCAGGCAAGCAGACAGACTGGTATTCAGGAGGCAAACATTGAGAGTGATGCTCAGGTGAGTTTGTAAACATTTCTGGTGTCATTTGCTTCCAGCTTTGTTCAACATTTGATAAGCTGCCCTCTAGCGGCAGAAAATAGTAAAGCCTCCCCATAAAAACTAACTTTAGTCTGCATTATGTTCAATCTGCTTGTTTTCTTTTGATGTCCTCAATCAAGATAGTTTAGTGCTTTACTGTCACGTGTTAGAGTTTAGAACTTGTAACTGTCAATACTGTGTGTGCATTTCAAATATGCACTTAGATCAGCAATGCCCAAACTTATCAAGACGAGGGCCGAAATCACAAAGTTAAAACTCCACACAGGCCACAAAAATTCATTCTTTTTGTTAAGAATCAAACATTATTTTATACTTTTCATTTGTTCTGCTCAAAAAAGGCCTACAATAAATATATTAGTAAAAATTTGAACATAAAATATAAAAATTTATGAATTTATATCAACAGCCTCCTGGAAAGACCTAATTCCACAAATCTAAAAACGCTAGTGAGGGCCATGCAAAATCATTCAGGGCCGCAAATGGCCCCCGAGCCACACTTTGGACACGCCTGACCTAGATGAATCTTGCGTTCAGTAAACGCTCGTCAGTGGTTCCTAAAGCTTGAGTCATGAAATGGCCTGTTGAAACTACAGTCAGCGTGGTCCGCACTGGGTCGGGTCGTTGTTTTTACACCGGCGTTGTCCGTGCGGCGCCGGACGCTTTTTTTGGCCCTGCTTCTCTGCCATTTGTTTTGTGCTGAGCCAGTCAGACACACCCACCTGTGGTGTGATTGATGCCTATTTGCTAGCAGGGGCCTCTAAATCAGCCAGCGGCGGCTTCCCACATGCTCCTTTCATTGGTAGTATGGATGTGTGGGGTAAACATCTTCTCTGACTGCAGCGTGGACTGAGCGTAGCTGCAGCAGCAGCCCGAGGACTGACCTGCTGCTGTAATATATAATTTAAAGGTGAGGGTGACTGAAAAAAACCTTTTTAATGATTGTGATCGGTCATTCTGAGTTTTTCCTGCAGGCTGAACATGAAAATATTCTCCTACACCTATCTCCTGCATTAGCTTCTGGTAAAAATACTCACAAATGTACCTCACACTGTGAATTAGCAGTCATGGACTTACCGATTTTGACTCACAACAACATTTTAACATATGGGGATCAGCAGCAGACATTTCGACTAGTTTAAGCTAAACGTTAGCATTAGCAACATCACCACACAGCAGAAGCTCCTCCATGCTTTTGTTATTTGTGGAGATAAAACAGTGTTGCAAGTCGGTGGTAGAGTTGCGTTGCTGTTATCCAATCTGAGGCAAGATGTTCAAATATCAGGAAATGAGACTGCAAAACCTGCTGTCTGAATCTCAGCTGTGATGTGGGCAAACTTTAGGTCAGAGAAATGGCGCACTGGTGTATTCATATCGGTATAGGTTGGATCAGTACGAGGAAATGTGAAAAGGCCGCGGCTGTGTTAAATAGATCTATCATCAAGTCTTTGATTGTTTTGTGGGTTCTTCTTCAGAACGGGTCAAACTAATGTGGTAAAGCCAGAGTTGACTGAAATGTTCCTCGTTTACAAACAAATGTCCACTTGTGCATTCATGTAAGTGAGCTGTCTCTTTTTAGGCCCTGTTTAAGGCCGGCGAGCAGAAGTATGGGACTGATGAACAATCGTTCATCACCATCCTGGGCAACCGGAGCGCCGAACATCTGAGGAAAGGTTCAGCTGTGATGATTGTTTGGATCGATTGAAGAATTTTTGTCTCTCTTGACTGAGTCGTGAAAAATTATGTAATAATCCAGAGTGGTTTTTTTCAGTGTTCGATGCTTACACGAAGCTGTCTGGATATGAGATGGAGGAGAGCATCAAGAGGGAAACTTCTGGAAGCCTGAGAGCCCTGCTTCTCGCCGTAGGTAAGAAAACTAGACAAATCCTCTTCACTCATTTATTTATTTAATGCCTCATTTTCTGCCCTTCAACAACGGTCTGTCCTTTCTGATTGTCCCTTGAAGTGAAATGTGCCAGGAGCGTTCCATCCTATTTTGCAGAGACCCTGTACTACGCCATGAAGGTAGGAAGGCAACCACAGAAACGGAAACCTGACGTCAGTTTTCTTAATCACACAAGAGAAGATGAAACCATTAAATGGAGCCAATTCTTTATTGTTCCTTTTAATGAAACACTTAAAATGATGCTTTACATTTGTGTTTTGTGAAACTAGCACATCTGGATCATGTGAGTGTTACTGTCTTTGCTTCAGGGTGCAGGAACGGATGACGACACCCTGATCAGGGTGATGGTGACCCGTTGTGAGGTGGACATGTTGGATATCAGAGCTGCATTCAGAAGGATGTTTGCTTGCTCCCTGCATTCAATGATCAAGGTACAAACTCCACATCCATAGTTGGAAAACCTTTCATCTTTTTTCTCTACAACGATTCCTGTGTGTTTGTTTCAGGGGGATACTAACGGCGACTACCGGAAGACTTTACTGTTGCTCTGCGGGGGAGATGATGCGTAACCGTGGCAACGACCCTTCTGAAGTGCCACCTTTTATATCAAGTTTTATTTGTATTTGGAAAAAAAAGAGTCAAAACCTCTGAGTTTTTAAAAGGTAGCTAACATTTTATCCTAATTCTTGCAGCTTTTTAGTCCACTAATAACTTCACTCTACCTGGTGTCGTATCATTTATTTGTAATGTTAACATTTTGTTTGCACTTTGGCAGAACCAGTAAATGCATAAATAAATGTTTCTATTAATGAAGGTCGATGCTGAGTTTGTTTCCTGTCTCCTGTCCACCACCATCCTGCAGCCTGTAATTCTGTGTGCGTGACCCCCTGATGGAGCGATGGTGTTCCCTGCCTCTCGCACTAGAGCTCCGACTCCTCTTAACCCTGAGTTTTAACAAAATAAGTAAACGAGCTGATTCTTTGTGGCCACAAGAGGGCGATAGAGCATCTTTAAATGGAAATCAGCTAATGGAGCACTGAAGCAGGAGTGCTGAAGAATTTATGCTTTTCAGAGGCAATGTTGTGTTTTCAATTCTGCACAATTAATTCCTAAAATGATCTTAACTAATTTATTATGGTTTGCTCTTTAGTGTGAGGGCTTTTATTATAATATTAAACCTCTGCTGAAATTCTATGAGAGGTTAATTTTAACCCTCTCACTGTCCTAATGGGTGACCCTGCGAGTAAAGTTGACCATTTTAGCAGTTTTGGTAGTTTATCCCTCAAGGTCCACATGGCAGGGGTGAGGAGTGAGCACCACCTCGCCCCTGCCATGTGGACCTCAAGGGATAAACCATCAATCCTTCTCAATGGTCAATTGAATAAATATTAATTTATAAAGTGATTTTAATTAGACAGGTTTTTGCTTCTGAATTTTCTATTTTATATGAATAACTGAGTTTTTTGTTCAAAAAAAATTTTTTTTGGTTTTCATTTTACTTTTTTAAAATAATCCTCTCATAGAATTTCAGCAGAGGTTTAATATTATTATAAAGGCCCTCATATATATTGATATTGTTTATTCACAAATTATTAAAATATTGCACAATAATCTTTTACTCACAGATTAACTTTTTTTTTGTTTACAAAAACTCTGTGTGTCCTCTCCGGTGTTTCTTACATCACTCCACCTCTCTGTTATTCTTTTCATGGAAGCATCTGCTGCTTTTTGTTGCCAGGGCAACCAGCAGCCAATAATATGGTGTCAAAAGCAGGGTGTGAGGTCAGACCACCTCGAGCCAGAGAGAAAACAAAAGCTCCAACTCCTCCCTCCTCACCGTCTCCCGTGCTTGTGGGTGTAGGAGACTGTGTGTGGGCAGATTTGTAGGTCAGATCTCCAAGTTGTGTTCAGATGTTTTTCTTGTCATTGTGTCACATAACCCACCCTCTCTTTCATCCCAGTCTGCAGCTCTGAAGTAAAAACAAGTTCACATTCAACTTGACTCTGATCTGTGTGTGTTCTTCAGTGAGGATTGAAGAAGAAGTGCTGAATGATGAATAGTTCAGGATGTTTGTCCTGAAATGAGTCTTTGTGTTGGATAATCATGCCTGTGAGCGTCTGAACACGTTATTGCCAAAAGCTTAAAATGGTCATTTGCAGAAAGTGTTCAGGGATAAAGGAGCTGAAGCAATGAGCTCCTTCTTGTTTTTGTCAGTTAAGTCAATTGAAGTGATGGTTCAGCTCTTTTAAATGGAGTTTATTTTTTTGTAAAATGACTGAATAAATAAAGGCATACCTGTAGTAGAAAACCCTTAGAACAAGCTCAACAGAGATGAGCTCTGATCTGATTAGTGACCTCACAGGTAGCTTTAATGAGTCAAATGATTTGGGACTGTCTAAAAACGACTAACACAAAAAACATGTTCAAGTAATTCATGCAAACACACTGTAAACATGTTGAATTTAACTAAACCAGGGCCGTTTCAAGGCAAATAGTCCTGGAAGCCCCCCCCCCCCCCCCGCCCCCCCCCCCACCCACTCAAAGGCACCATATCATAGACATTGTTTAAGTTCACCCAAACTTTAGATCAGCTAAATATTGGGACCATCCAGATGCACATACTTGTTAAAAATGCTGCTTGATAAAGTTTACATCTGAACATTTGTAAAAAGTCACACCCATCCCATAACAACAAATACATGAAGAACGTGCAAACTGCGCAGTGACAATAGAACATACATCCAACATACTTTCACAGTAAATATATTAAACATATAGACACATTAACACAGATACAGTTTGTCGTATTTGTTTTGTAAACATTAATTGTCTGGGGCCCTTGGCCTGCTCGGGGCCCGAGGCAGTTGTCCTCTTAGCTTGCCTTGTTGAGATTGGGCCTGCATATAATAATGTATATTACTCTTTGCATTTAACTTGGTTAAGTTAATTCAACGTCTTATTTCTTACAGTGCACTATTGTGCACAAACCTTCCCACAAAGTTCATCAAGCAGATGTTTACATAGAATTCATTGAGTCCTTGCAGGGGGAATTAGTGGTGGACCTGTGGCTGTAGCACTTTTTAGTCAAAGAAAAATAATGAAATTTCTGCCACAAAAACATCTTTTTAACACATAATTACAGTTCCTAATTTTATGTATGAGTTTAGCGACCCGAGACACAGAAACGCCTAAATATTTACTAAAACATTACTATTTTAGAAGATTTTAGTGTCGTGTCATTGCTTTTATGTTGTGATATTCACCATATGTAGCTATTTTCACCCCCGTGGTTATTTTCTCAAAGATTGACTTTGCTTTCACATCTAAGTCTTAAAGGTTTTGAATGTGAATGTCATTATGAAAAAAAAAAGCTGAGAAAATGTTTTTCCAAGTTTTTGTGTGTAAAGTTTATCCTCCTGGGATTAGATGGTGACATTGCAACACCCTGAGAATGAGAACGGGATACAACATCAAGACCGTGTTAACAATGCCAAACCTCGGAGGGATTAGCGTTTTAAAAGACAGATGCTTTCATGGACGTTTGTACAGCTTGTTAGATTTCAGCATAACGAGTGAAAGAGAGCATGATGAGACACGATGGAGATGAGCGGGAGTCTGACTCACATACCAGAGCACGGCTCAGATGAGTTAATGATTAGTTAAAGAGTTTTCTTCAGGCTCTTCAATCCTCAGAGACGTCAAGGAGTGAGTTTGTGACCTTTTGTCTTGACACAACTGCTGCTGTGCGGTTGAATTTGTTTAGTATGTGATTTAAAGGGTTTTCTAGTAAAAGTGTCAAACGTTCACACAGAAAGTATTTAGTTAGTAAGAGTTTTTAACACTTTAAAGGAACAATGTGAATTATCTTTACTTGTTTCATATCAAATTCTGTTTTTCCAGTTCACAAACTTGTCCTTTTTCATTAGTATTTCTCACCAATGTCTATTCTGTTCCTATTAGCTTGAAATATGTTTACACACTTAAACTGATGAGATGACTGATGAGGACACTTAAACATTTACTTGGTGACCTCCTTGTTACTCCACCCGTTAACATGCCCACCTCCTTCATTTCAGTCCGTGCTGAAATGATGCACTGAACTAAAAAAAGGGGAACTTGCTGGAACAATTTGTCCACAAAAACTCTGCTTGGGATGTCAGAGACCCTAAAGATTAAAAACATTATTTGATTTTCTGCAACGGAGACAAAAAGCAGGTCAGAGGTGATGAAGGTCAAGAGCAGACAGGAAAGCATCCCTAATCACATTTGGTTGCACTTGTTCTGAATACACACACACACACACACACACACACACACACACACACACACACACACACACACACACACACACACACACACACACAGCTCTAACTCATTAGTGGAATGATGGTGACTGGTGTCGGTGATCCTTTGCCTGTTTTTGCTGTGGTGGAAATGAAGACTGCATCAAAAGCAGTAATGGATTCTAATATTAGTAAAATAGTTTTAATAAAGACACCAGAAGCAATTGCTGCACTGAAGTCGGACTTAGCAAATCATGATTGGCAGGAAGTTTACATGGATGATGCCAATCAATCATACAGTTAATTTTCGAAAATATTTCTGCATTTCTATGAACACAACTACTAGCATCTGTAACTGCAGAAGCTAATGAGGATCTCAATAAAACGAAACAAAACCACTGTTCAATGAGAGAATATAGATGCAATCAAACTAAAACAAAAAAACTTGGCTCAAAAAAGGGCTGGAAACAGCTTTACAGAAACTTTATCAAGCACAGAACTGAAGATAATGAGAATAAATACAAACAAATATGAGAACAAATTCATCTTGATTATGATATTGTAAAAAGATTTACTATGATAATCTACTGTTAAAACATAAATATAATATTAAGGGTATGTGGGGAGTGCCTAATGGTCTGGTTAAAGGTTCCAGTACTAATTACTCAGCATACATTCAAACTGAAGAAAAGCGTAAACATGAAAGAACAGAGGTAATCGCTGATGAGTTTAATGATAATTTTGTGAATATAGGCCCAGAACTAGCAAGTTAAATCAGGATTGTGGACCATAAAATTTGGGCTTTAATATAAAAACTCAATGTTTATTGGTGGGGTTAGTGAGAGAATGGGGACAAGTGTATTACTATATTTGCTAAAATACTTGAAATACTGTTTGCGAGTAGATTTGATTCTTTATTGACGAATATGACTTGTTGAACAATCATCAATTTGGGTTTCGGTGTAACTGATCAATGTCATTGGCAGTTTATGGAATTTGTTGAAAATAAAGCTACGGCTGTGCTGTTGTGGATTTAGTTCTACGTAAGGCATTTGATTCAGTCAACTATTCTTTGCTTTTGGACAAACTGGGGGGTTATGGTATGAGAGGAATTAAGAGGATAAGGAGTTACTTAAGTAATAGATTTCAGTATTTAGACTAGAGTTTAACAATACTATGTCAAATATCAAGAGTTTTCTGTGGTGTTCTGCAAGGTTCAGTATTGGGGCCGAAGTTGTCTTTATTATACGTGAATGATATTAGGCAGCCACTCAACACGTTTAAATTTATCACATTTGCAGATGACACAACTTAGTTTTCTTCAGGATCAGACATAAGAGTTATTGACACTAGTAGAAGACATGATCAGGTTAAAATACTGGTTTGACATTAATAAATTATCACTTAATGAAAGTAAAACTAAATTCATGATTTTCAGGGGTGCTGCGAATAACAGTGAAATAAAAATTAAGTGAAGTGATGTAGATATTGAAAGGGTATATGAAATTAAATTCTCATGAGTATTTTTAGATCGTAATTGTAATTGGAAGCCACATTTAGAAATTTTTAACAAAAGAAGAATGCATTTATTGTACCCTCATAATGCCATATCTGACGTATTGTGTGTCACAGTGCGCAAGTGAGTCGAGCGGAGGTGAGCAGGTGCGGGGAAGAGGGCAGGCAGGAATGTTTAAAGAGGTTTTTAATGGTAAGCATGCAGGACATGGAAACAATGGACAGACAAGGAACTCAGAACTGGGAGGGTTTAAATACACGAGGAGCTGGGATCTACAGTGATTGGGAGACGAGAGGCAGGTGGGAGTAATCAGGAGAGACACAGGACTGAACAGAACAGGACAGGTTGTGACATTGTGTTGGGGATGAGGAAATAAAAATTGACCCTATTGTGAAGATTCATAAAAATGTTGAAATAATAATACATAAAGCTCCCTCCCTATTGTGCATCAACCCACAGATTATTCATAGTCTTATATATTGTTTATATTAAACCATAGAGCTCAACATCTCCCCTCATGCATTCAGTATTTGTTAAGAGAAGAAAAACAGGGATGAATATTTTCCAAACAGGTAAAGTCTATTGTTACTATTAGTTCATGTTGTTAATGAACAAATAATTAATAAATAATAATAAATAATTTAATAAAAATTTAGCAAATTTTGTGTGATTTTGTTGTTTTTTGCCTTCTCTTTGATCTTGTGTTCTGATGGATCTGTAAGGAGGTTAATAAGCCTCAGCTTCAGCCTATTCTTTCCCTTTTCGATTACAATAATTGTAAATTCTTTTTGTTGGCAACATTAACATCTAATGTTTTTTATTTATTTGTTTACATGTAACTGAGATAAAAACATATGGTGATAACATATACAGCTGAATTTAGAGAGTTCATAAAGGTCAAGAATATAGAAATGGTCCATCTTCCGAGTTTATTTAAATTCGGTAAACAGGAAGTAGCTTATCAACAAAAATCTGAATGAGTACAATTTGTTAAAATATCTCAAGAAAAAGTTAAACTTGGTGCTCAACTGCATTTTAATTGATCTGACAAACAGAGAAATAATAGAAATATTTTATTTGTTGATGCATAAATAAAACATGTAAGTGGTTAAAGAAAATACATCACTTGATAATAAACCAACCAAAGAGTAAAATAAAAAACAAATGTGAAAAACTAAAGCAGAGTGAGATACTATCAGATACAATAAAAATGGGTGACCTGAGAATAAATATTTGCATCCATTTTTGTCAGTAAAAATATGTTAACAAAAACTTTAAACAGCAGCAAAAAGGTTCCTTGTATCAAAATAAATCTTATTGTAGAATAAGAACATGTGATTTTTCCCATTTCCCTCTGGTTTACATTCTACTAAAAGGCTCATTTTGACAGTAATCTGTAAGAATATATAAGCAGTCTGGAACGTTGGTTATGTGAGGATCTCCTAAAAGATCATAAATAACAAAACATGATGTAAATAAACTGAGAAGCACCTGAGGTTATAGAGCGCACTGAACCATCATTTATGATTAGTCACACTTTCTCTGGCCCTGAGCTAGCAGTCGTCCCTCTGCACCATGGACAGGAAGAACGAGCACACGCTGGCCCACGCGCTGCTGCACAACTCCTCGGCTGTTTCCCGGTGGTCCGCGCGACTCGTGCAGGCCGTCGGAGCCGCGGACGTGAAGCTTGGAGACGGCAGCTGGGTGGGAGACTCCGGTTTTCCGGACTGAGAGGAGAACAGCGAGCTGTTTACGTCCAATGTAAAGTGCGCATCTTTCGGTGCGCGCTTGCACATGCCAGTTCTGACTAGCGCACGCTCGTCGCCGCACAGCCTGCCCTGGAGCTTTTTAAGCGCGCGTGCCACTTGTTTCCAGAAGCCTTTGGGATTGGAGTGGTACTCCTGGCAGCTCTCGGGTCTCCCAGTGTATTCGCAGCTGATGTCGGTGATTCCGCCGCTGACCCGGGCCTCTTGATTCTCACATTTGACTCGAAGATTCACCGAGTCTCGTGCGTCTCGTGCGTTCCACGTGCACTGCATCTTCTTATTGCTGCTGGAGAACCTCCCCTGGTGCTGCTGCGCTCCTGAGCCTGCGGCAGAGACTTGCTGGAGGAGGAAGGCCACCAGCAACCAGAGAGGGGAAGACTTCAACAGCAGCATCTGGTCTTGTAGCAGAAAAAATCTGAAAGATTAAGCGACGCGAAACAGATTTTACATTTAACTGTTTCCAAATGTTTCCCAAACCATGAAAAAAGAATAATCCAATAAAACGTAGTAACAGTTGTTGTACACAAGTTTTAAAACTTTATTTCACTACTTTAAAAGTATGTTTTCGATTGAAGGAATCCATAAATGTCACATTATTAACGTCAAACTCACCAAACGAAGAGCGTGGCTGTGCGTAAATCTTCTGGTTCCTCTGTCTGCGTCTGCCACATGGTTTTCATACATGGATGTGCAGCACGCGCACCAATCAACACAGTCTGGCGACGCACGACGACGCACGCACACCCACTGAGAAGGGTCTCTTTACGTTTTGCAAAGCCATACCCCAAATGTCTAAAACCGGTTTGCGCCTTTACCAAATAGAGTTGGGGTTAAAATGAAATGTGACAGTTGAACACATTTTAGATTAGGGGGGAAGTTTAGAAACCGTTAGGGGCATCAGGGCGCACTTTGAACGATCAACTCCAACAATCACCCTCAAGTCAATTTCTACACTTTTATTTTCACTGCACTAAATGCATCTTGTTTTGATAAGGAATAAAACGGTGTGCAGTAATAAAAAACCTCTGAATTTAAAAGACTCTGTGTAATAAAATTGTCCTTTGAATAAGTGCTGCTTCTGTAAGTTCTGTAAAAGGATTCCATAGATCATAGATAATGGCCTAAACCAGATCAACAATAAAGTGTCATTCTGATCCGAAATCTGAGCAAATTTACAAATTGTGTTGTTTTTAATCCAATATCCTAAGCTGGGTTGGGTTATTATAGCTTAGTAACTGAATTTGATTCATTTGAGCAATAAAGGAGCTGTACAGCAATTACACTCATAGATAGAATTATGTTACAATTAAAGGTTTTATTGGTGTGAAGAGTCAGCATTAATTTAATTATAACATAAGTTCTGTATCAGGGGACATTAATATAATTTTACACTGCTGTGACAAATGTTGAAAGAAAAATATCACCTCATTATAATCTAATTTATAAGGATTAATAAAGTGATAAACAAAATAAAAACAACAGTTAATGTGTTTTTTATTCGATTTAAGGGCCAGTTTCATACGGACTCCTCTGGTTCACTAGGACATTTTAGGGTTGTCAGGGAGCAGATATCTTAGTGTTTCTGTAAATGCAGACATCTGCACTTACAAGCTCTTTTTATTTGCTCATTGGTGCCACCCTGTGTTTTTTATAGAAGGTGCAGCCTTCAGGTCAGTGTGAGTACTCTACTGCTGTCTGCTGTTGTTCAGCAAACTTTTTACATAAAGATACAATTCATGGCCATTCCCCAGATTTAGAGAATATAATCTGGTCTGCCAGATTAACGTTACTGGTTTTTATCATGATTGTTCAGAGGTGTCCAGACCTCAGACAAGAACTGAAGAACAAATAATAAAACTGCTCCTGACTCACAAAACTACACTAGCATTCATGTTAATACATCAGTAACAACAGGGACCTAATGATTACACAAATATCTTCTGATATATTTGTTATATGTAACTTTTATTAGTGACCCATATGTCATTTGTTTTGCTCACAATAAAGTTTGTATATGCTATTTACCTATTCATGTGTTAAGTTCACTTCATTTCAGTTAAATATTATCAATAAAAAGTCAAATTTATGTTTATTTACATTGCTTATGAAGGGTTAAGACCAGTGGTTCTCCGTGAAAGGTTGGAATCCTGTAGTTCAAAGTTAGTAAAATAATTTCTTTTCATATTTTCACATTTTGAATTTTTTCTTACATGAGGGCCCATATCATGAAAAATCCACTTTTATGGAGCTTTTTACCATGTGATTTTATTTCCTCAATAAAAAGAAAGCACAACCCCATTTTTGCTGCATTCATCCATTTTCCTGTTTCAGCTGCAAATTTTGGGTTTTATTTTGAAAATCTTGTAAAGGGTGAACGGAAACTACTCATCATCAGGCCCTACTCCCCTCCTGGCTTGGTGGTATGTAGGTTCACATCCCAATCTGAACAGTAACTTTATTATTATTTTTTAACCACACTTGCCAGTCTGATGTTTTCATCCCTTTATTGGTAAACGGTTGAAAATGTAAGGACTAAAATGCTGTTTTTTTTTTGTGTTCTTTATTTAGCACGTGTGCGTCCATGTGAGGTTAGCCGAGTCAATCAACTAAAATGCTGCTTGGACCAAATTCAAAGGTGTTTGACACAAAATATTTTGCAGAAAATAATCAATAGAACTAAAACATAAAAACATGAAATCTGCTTCAGCTGGTTAAATAAATGACTCTCGATACCACCGGGATTCAAACCCACTTTAGCACATGGCAAAACTAAAATCGCTGTCAGAGGCCTTAACTACTGGACTACAATTGCCAATACATCAACTGGTTTGCCTAAGATGCTGTTGAAGGCACATTTTGTCGATGCATAGGCAGAGTTTTATTGAAACAAGGTGTTTTATTTCCAGGTAAATTCAGGCTGGTGGAAATGCTCGGACTTCTGGCCTCTGACTGGCTAACAGCAACAGAACTCTACCACTGACTCTGGTTGCTTTGTAACATTGATGATTTATCTCCACAAATAACTCGAGCCTGAAGGAGTTCTGCCATGTTGTGGAGTTGCTGATGCTAACGGTACTGCTAGGTGAGACATGCTCTGCTCTCTCCTGGATGCTAAACCAACAACAGTCTTCCCCACCAGGAGACAGGATGGGTCCATGAACATTACTTTTCAGTGTGACGTGGCTTGCCTGAACCGAGTGCCTATCAGTGGCTAATGAAGGAAATATGGGTAGAAGACTATTTTCACCTTTAGCCTGTGTTAAACTCAGAGATCATATTTCAAAAATTACAAATGAAAATGGTTTCTCTGTGAACATAGCCTTTAATCTGTAAACAATGTGAAAATATTAATAGTTTTTTCTAATTTAATCTTTCTGGCATTTTAGAATAAAGCTCTATAAACAGTTTTGCTGTCCTGCATGACCTTATGTTTGCTAAAAACGACCTTTTTGGTTCTAAAAGAGTTCTGCTCTGTGTGCGTGTGTGCATGTGTGTGTGTGTGTGTGCTGTTTAAACAACCACTCAGATTACCACTCATTTGCAGCCCTCACACAGACTCCCCTCTGTTCCTGCTCAGCGGCTCTTGGGACTCAATTCATCTGCTCACACAAAGAAGTGTTCTCAGAAACCTTCTGTGACTGATTGTGTCCGCACGGTAACAACTTCCTCACACAGGCGGCCGACATGTTGTTACAGCCGGTGATGAGTGGAGACAAACGTTCTTTTGAAAGCAAGAGTTTAAAACATTACACACTTAGCTGTTCTGTCAGAAAGAAAACCCTTAACAGGAGAAGAGAGGTCACCACTCTGATTTTATTGGGTTTTCCTTTGTTGAGGGGGTTTACATGGTATTTCACATTTACATGACACACTGAACAACTTTTAAATACAAACAGAAACACATGCCTACCAGTTTTTCCCTTTTTACGGATCTATAAAAGTCACAAACATCAAATTTTGTTAAAGCACTCGGGGAGTTCAGAGACTGGAGGTTGTGTTGAGTGCTACCGATTCCAATCTGAAACGAGAAGAAGAGCCTTTACGTTACATTTTGTTTACCTGTAATTTATGAACAATATTTCCTGTTACATACCTGGGTGTCTTCAGGACCGTCTCACTTTTGGAACCAGCTGATTAAATAGCTGCAGATGCCGTGGAAGCTATTCCAGCAGTACTCAGTGGCGAGGCGGGAGGCGCCAGACTCCAGCTCCTCTGTGGGGCGTGCAGTGGTCTTCCCAGTCTTGGGAGTGGGTCTCCTGCTCGGGGGTCTCTTGCCTGTCAACGGCTTACTGGGCTGAGGCTGGGTCTTCACCGGTTTAGGAGTAGCGATGGCCTTTGGCTGCACTTGCACCACTGGTTTAGGATGCTCTTTGGAAGGCTTGGGGGCAGTAGTCTTGGGCCAAGAGGTCAGGAAAGTCATTTGGACCTCATCTGGAGATTTTCTGCACATATGCGGATGGTAGATTTTTGCACCCTGACAGGCATTCTTTAGTTTCCTCAACTCCCACATCATTTGGGTGAAGTAGTGGCGAGGGTTGACATTGTAGGCAGGGCACAGGTTGGGTTTACCCTGGAAGTCGCAGTAGTAAGACCGTCCTGTGGTCTGGCTTGGACTTCTGCAGGACACACGCAGGCGAGTGTAGTTCCCAGCTGTAGACACCACCATGGCGCATGAGTCTTTGGTCTTGGTGCTGAATCTTAGGGGCTCATCCCAGACGCTCTGTTGCTGCTGCTGTTTGGTATCAATGCTGCTGTTGCTGCTTTGAGCGTCCGACACACAAACTGCAGCCAAGAGCAGCACCAGCATCCTTGTCTTCATTCTCATGGTGAAGTTATGAACTGCTGTGGGTACTGCTGTTTGCTCCAAAGGTTAAGATGTGCAAAAGGGGGTGGGAAGACTTATAAGTGGAACTTTATACAGCAGAAACCCACAAAGGGGTGTTATTCATGTATGCTGAACGACTCAAACTCCTCCTCCGGTTCCTCGTACAAACACAGGAGTACGTGTGGCACCCTGAAAACTTGGAAAATGATTGACGAGATGGTTGGAAAAAGAGGAGGGGGCATAAAAAGAAGGAGGAAAGGGGATTTTTGTCCCGCAAAGTAAGTGGGGCTGACACCATAAATGTTCTGACGGTGTATATTCCCACACAAGGGGGTCATTCAGCATTTATGAAAAGGAGCAGGAACCAAACTGCAGCCTGAAGTTATTTCTGTAAATTAAAAAAAAAAATCAACAACTCTGCAACCCTGGATGAAAAAGAAAATCCTCATTAGGTCATAGAAATATATTAATGAAAGTGTATTTATCCCTAAGATTTGGGACGTTTGATGTTTGAAGATTTCTCCAAGTGTTGGTGCTGTTGTAAGTGAATTTCCCCACTGTTCATTTACTGAGTTTATTTATTCAAACTTTATGCTGAAAGGATGCAGTCACCTTCCTGCAAGGCAACAGTGTACAACAAAGTGTTGGTTATTTAAATTGTGCAGCAATGTTTCTTACAAAGGGTCCAACGGTAGACCTCCCTGGGGAGTCCTGAGTTTAGCTTCCTGTAAGCCATCAGAGGAGAGAAGGCTGCTTAACGAGCTCTCTGGGGTGGTCTGTCCTTCCTCTGTTAGGAAGCTGATTAGCAGTTGTGTGAGCCTCACAGTGACCATGCTAAACCTCTTTTAATTAGTGAGTAGTCTAGTTTTATTTAGGGATTAAAAATGACAGATTGAGTCAACACACTCACAGAATAGGAGGGGAAAAGTGATATGGCCTGAATGTCCATACACCATTCTGTCTTCAGGATGTGCACTTACATATTTTTCAGCTCTGGGAGAATGCCATTTGGTAGGAGCAACTCCAGCTTTTTAATGGTTCAACCTGAACTTACCCATAGGTCTGTTTTCTGCACATAAAGCACAGCAAAACTGTGGAGTTTATACTTCATTTGAATGTGGATCCCAAAATAGACGCAAGCATCTCCAAGTGGGGGTCCTGCCTCGAAATCAAGCAGAATGTTATGAATGCTGATGGCATTTTGTTCTGTAATTGTTACAAAGAGTCATAAAATAATATCAGCGCCATCTTGCATAGAGTTTTGTGTTGTAGTTATTACATTGCTTTACTGTTTTATTAGCTAAAACAATAGAAAAACAAAACAAACAATAACAAGATGGCAAGAAAATAATTTTTAGAACAAAGCTGTTAAGTGAAATTGGACTATGTCATAAAGACTCATCTGGAGGCCTGACTGCATGCTGCAGTAAGTTAGAACTCCTGAAACTAAACAGAGAAGCATGCCACCTTGAAAAATTCCACAAGTTGGAGCAAAAAAGGGTGCTAAGTCTACAAGACCTCAGCAGATTCAGGAGTCGTTATTTTTACAGCAGCCAGTCTGGTTGGGAAGAGAAAGTTCCCGCCACCAGAAAGGTAAACACATTGTGTGAGTACATCTTCCTAAATTTGCTGTGATGCATTTCTGATGGAGTATGTGGCATCAAACCCAGCGTCGCCTTGCAGAGCTGTACAACTTTAGCTTTGGGTGCAGATTCTGCATCCTTTAGTGTCTTCATATCCAAATAGTATTGGTGATAAACATCACCAGTTGTGATTTTAAACGTTTCACTCATCTTTGTGTGTCATCAAAATATTTAGAGGATGTGTTCACAATGTGAATTTTGTTTTTATGTTGCCGTCTGTATGGGATTCAAAACTGAAATGGACTGTTCATACACTCTTAGAAATAAAACTTTTAATTTTTTGAACAAGTTATGTCAACTGGTTCTGTGAAACCTAGTTGTTTGAATGTAAAGAGTAATATATTATGTTAAAGCAACACTAACATAAAACACTTAACATTTTAAGCTATTGCTTTCAAACTGGTTTCAGTGGTTCTTGAGCCATAAACGAGATACCTTCATGCTGAACAGCACTCTGTAGCCCCCTGCTGACCAGAAATTGTGCTTTCCAGTGTTGTGTTGTGGGGCGATGGTGGCACAGGAGTTAAGAGCTCGCCTCGCAATCGGAAGGTCGCAGGTTCGAGACCCGCTCAGTCTGCCGCTGTCGTTGTGTCCTTGGGCAAGACACTTAACCCACATTGCCTGCTGGTGGTGGTCGGAGGGACCGGTGGCGCCAGTGCTCGGCAGCCTCGCCTCTGTCAGTGCGCCCCAGGGCAGCTGTGGCTACATTGTAGCTCATCCCCACCAGTGTGTGAATGTGTGTGTGAATGGGTGAATGACTGGTTGTGTTGTAAAGCGCCTTGGGGGGTTCCAGGACTCTAGAAGGCGCTATATCAAATACAGGCCATTTACCATTTACCATTTAGCTGTTTACTGTGCTGGTAGCTCAAAGCAGGCTAGCAGTTAGCTTTATCGGTTTGCCCAACATCAATAAAAAGCACAAGAATAATGTAGCATTTCTGTTGGCATCACGGTGGAGCCTGGATGTAGAGAGTAAAGACCTAAAACAATAATTAACATCAGCAGGAGCTGAAGGAGGCTACAAATACATGGACTGATGGTGACCTGGCTTTGTTGCTACGGTAATTATTTATTGCCCAACAGAGTGGATCATTTTACTTAATGGCTTATTTGTAATCAGTTAGTCAGTCATTCTTCATTGTTAGAGCTAGCTACAGCAGAATTGTTTCTGATAGTTGTAAATCCACTTCCAACCAGTAGGAGGGAGAAGTGAGAAACTTTAGGGTTGCTTTAAAAGTAAATATATTTTACCCTTTACATTTAAGCGACTAGGTTTAATAGAACAAGTTGACATAACATGGTTAAATACATTCAGGGTTTTATTTCTTAGTGTACATTTACAAAGGTAATGGAAGAAACACAAAACAAACAAGTGTTGTTGGAATAATTTATTCACAGATTTGCACCCTTTCTGGAAAACATTCCTTGTGTCTCCCTCAGGCCTCAGTCATACTGAGCAATCCTGCAGGTATTTTGTGTTTTAGCCATTTTACATCATTTTATATCATCTAAAAGTGAATCTTATGAGTTATGAGAATATCTGAGAGACAATGAGAGGACAGGGATTAACTTTGGACTCTGTCGAGATTTTATCACAGAGCCAAACACAGCTTGTTCAGTGTTTTAAAGAAGAGAGCGCCGTTTGGAAAACTTTTTATTTCGCCGAGATGCACGAAACAACAGGTCAATAAATATTGCCTGCTGCTTTCAAAACGTAAGTTTAATGTAAATAAGAAAAAAGATCAAACAGAAGATTTTGAACATGACATTCATATATCTGAATCAAGCAGACTGATTATAGTTTATTTTTTTACTTTTTTTTAGCAGAACAAGGTGAATGTTTTAGGCTTTTGGTCTACAAAGGCATTTTCTGCAGAAATCATTAGTAATTTGACAAAGACTTCAGGCTCTCCACAGAGCTGTAACGATGTAAAAAATCTGATTTACTCATTATTTTTCATTTTGTGGGCCTCCTTGAGCAGACTCGACAGTGATATCTTCTCTAAAGTTCAGCAAGAAAGCTCATTTTTCAAAATGTCAACGGATCCTCTGAAAATCTACCTAATCTGGGCTTCAGTTTCACCAAAATGAGCCAATCTAATTTACACATATTCACAGAAAAAAAAACTATTTCTACAAAAAAAACCTACAAAATGTTATAAAACAATGATTAACAAAATATATAAAACTTTCACAAATTTGGAAAGTGTAAAAAATGTACTTTTATCACCAGATGATGTGCATGCAAATATTTATTCTAGAACCTGATCTAATGAAGCGGGAGCTCGTGTCTGACAGCTGGTTTTGTACATTTGAAAATGCTAAAGGGACTGGACGGTGGGTGAGAGAGAGAGAGAGAGAGGTTGGCTGGTATCAGAGGTCCTTGTCAAACAGGCTGAAGGAGTGTCAAGGTGAAGTGTCCTACTCCCTGAAGTTCCTGGTTGTTGTTCTTCCTTTTCATCCTTAAAGATGTTAGAACATCTAAAAACAGACAACTTCAGTGATCCTGGATCAGTTCCAGTTCTCCTGTCCACTGTGGAGGAAGAAAAAAAAAGGAAGAAAATAATAAACAACAACAAAGTTTCAGCACAATGTAAGTGGCTGAATTCTCTGCTTCTTAAAGACCAAGTTCACTCATTTTCCAAACACATTTGCTCTAGTAGAAATGAATGCCTTGTGAATCGATCACTGTGGGCAAAAAAGCTGTTGCTCCCGTTTCAGGAAGTAGAAGTGAACCAGAGCAGAGGGGGGCAGGATTTAGGGTCTCATTTCCTGATATTTGGACATCTTGCCTCTGATTGGCAAATTGACTACCACTGACTCTGCTGCCATGTGGTGGAGTTGCTAATGCTAACCGTTAGCTTCTACTAGTGGGGACGTTCTCTGCTGTTTCCTGGACACTAACTCAACAGCATCCTTCTCCATCACGAGTCAAGATGAGTGAGTCCATGAATGTTAAGTGACAGTGTGATGTAGACCTGTCACGATTTTCTAGTCTGAGCGTTTGCTCGTCTATTTTCTATCAGAAGCTGATGCAGGAAACAGGTAGAAGCCTATTTTGATATTCAGCTTGTATGTTAAACTCAGAATGACTGATCATATTTAAAAATAACAAGTAAAAACAGTTACTCAGTGAACTTGGCCTTTAACTGTGTAAAATAAACAAAATAAATATAAATGTTTTGACATCTTACATCATATCTTAATGAGCAAAAAATAAAAATAAAACCACAAAGACAGCACCCGAAGATTTCAAAACTACTTAGATTAGTAATATTATTCCAAACAGCAGTCCGGAACAATGAAGATTAGATGCCCAATGGCCACAATGCAGGAGGGTGATCTAAGTGTTTAGTTGGAGCTGATTCTTCAGTTTAGCTTGGAGACAAAACCGGAGTCTGATAGAGACGTTTCAGCTCCAGTTTTACGGCATTCAGAAGGCACTAGATCTGAGGTGAACTCTGCAGCACACGTAAAAGTTTTCATTCTATCAAAACACTATTTTTGAGTTTGAGCAGCTGCTGATTACACCAGCAACATTTCACTACTACAGCAGGATTCATTACATTCATTTAATATAGTGAAATATAATAAAAGATGGGTTTTTTTAACCGCAGTTTTAGATGAAGAGGATCATTTCTGTGTGTGGTAAATCATCCAAATTCATCCCCATTATCACAAGATTCACACGAACTAACATTTCTGAGTAGTCAGAGGAGTCATGTGCAAAATCTTTTAAATAAATTAAATTATAAGGTCAAGGTCTTTATAATTATAAGCCATTTGCGCGTAACATGGTCTGTAAACCAAATGTTGTTAACAGTTGATGAATATGTGTCTGCATCGAGCTTGTTGTGCTTTCAGTCTGCTGCAGTCAGACTAAAGGTAAATTAGTGTCTAATGATCTACAGAAAACCCACAAACTGCAGTTTCATCTCTCTCAGGCTGTTTTTGTACATTTAGTCTCATTTTTGTTACTTTACTTGTTTTATTTTTAGTTTTTTTTTTTTTTTTGCTTTATGTTACAGCCCCTCTCCTTTGTTCATAATCTGTTCAGCCTGTTTTTAAAAGTTTATAAAAGGTCAAATCAGAAAAATATGAAAAAAAAGATCAAAACAAAAACAGAATGATTGTGGAAATGAGCTATTTTTGTTAACATTTCTCTTCCTCTTTTGATACATTTTAATCAGGCATGCTTTTTGCATACCCTATATTTTAGAAGAAAAGAGGCTCATTCTATCCATCTTATTAATTTTACAGTCGTGCAACTGTGCAATTTGACGTTTTACGTTTTTATGTAGACTGAAGCAAAAACTGCTCAGAACTTCTGGAGACGTGGATGACGGATGTCAGATGAGCGTGTGACATCGTTTTGGTTAGGGTGAGATGTGTGATGCAAGAGGAAGATGAGGAGAATAAATGCTGGTGGGAAAAAGATGAACGATGCAAAGACGTGTCTCCAAAGAGCAGACGGTGCTTCAGGGAAGGTTCAGCAGTCTGGTTTGAGATGGAGGCTGGTGGGTGAGTGTCACTGATCATCAGTACCTCCACATGGAAGAGGGGTCCAGAAGGTCACCAGTCGCTTGGGGGAGCAGAGGCCCGGGGGAACCAATTCAGTGTGTCATTATAAGAAGAGCTACACACACACACACACACACACACACACACACACACACACACACACACACACACACACACACACACACACACACACACACACAAATAAGAAGGAACTCTTCATTAATTCATGTTAAAATCTGTTTTCCCTCCACCAACGAACACCGCAGCATGCAGATGAACAGATTCAGGCATGGCTCATACCTGACCAAAGAGATGTTTCCATGGATACTGATACTGTTTCTCACCATGATTACATGCATATGGTAACACAAGATTGAGGGAGGACAGATGAGAAGGACAACGGGGCAACTCATCTCAAAGTAAAAGAGTGAAGAGGTCCACAGAGAGCTGCTGCTCATGACCAAAAGGCTGATGGGGGAAAGAAAAGTCCATGCAGAAGGAAAATAGTGTCATGCTTCCGATTTCAGGGGAAAATGAGTCAAAAAGATGAGAAGCGGTCCAAACTATTCCCCGCAACAAAAGAGGTGATACAAAGATGAGTGTGAAGAGCAGAAAGCCATAACTGTGAGACAAGCCACAAGTAAGAGTAGCAGGATTAAAAATAACACCGGGAAAAGGAAAATTAGCACCAGTAAGAGGAATAACAACAGAGAGAAGGGAATAAATGAAGTACTGAGCACAGTAGATTCAGTCTAATTAGGAGTAAAACTCTATAATATTTGAATGTGCAGCTGATGATGTTCTAGGACTCACTCTTCAAAGACATCCTCTGTGTCCATCCGTCTGTAGTACTTGGACAGTTTGACAGAGATGATGATGCTGGGGATCAGAAGGATGCAGCAACCTCCCAACCCAAACCAGAAGGTGTTCTGGAAGACACATTTACCATGAAGGGCATTAGTAAGCAGATGTGTTTTATATTATGTCACTAAAATGTTTTTAAACCATCTACAATCAAATTGCTACATGTCTGCTGCCCTCTGGTGGAGAAGAGAAGAGCAACTAACTTTTATGGATGAGACTAAATCCATGCATCAGGCTTTAAAGGTTAACCCGTGTATCCTGGTGTTATTGGTGGTTAATGTTGCATTAACACATTTTCATGTTCTAACTGCTGACAACTTGTTTCGAACGTGAAGATTGTCATCAGGTTGCTGCAAATCAGGCTCCAAATGAGGGGGATTTCAAGAAAACACAAAACTAGTCATGTCTGACACCTGAGTTTATTTTCCAGAACAAGCTTGGGTTTAGAATAAAGTCAGTATTTTCAGGTCCCATCCATAATTAAAAATTACTGACCACTGAGTCGATGATGAAGCTGCATGCTACGATCTCCGCGCTGTCCACAATGTTGCTGATTGGTTTACACTGGGCCACCTCTGCAGTCAGCTGCAAAAGCACACGCAGATGCATAAAACACGGTTGTAATGATGTAAAACAAAAATGAAAAGTCAATAAACATATCATTGGAGGAGTTTGATATTTTTCCCCACTATGTCCACATTAATTACGTCTTATTAATGCTCAGCTCACCATCAGAAAAAATCTCAGGCTGATGAAATGAACTGAAACAGAGGAGTCACTCACGGTGCACGACTTTATAAGCTCTCTGTGCTCAAGGGGACCACAATTTTAGAAACGCAGAGAAAATTTGGAAGTACTCACCGAGTTTTTAACCCAGTTTGTGTACTGTTGGAAGTATCCCACCAAAGTCTGCACGAAGCCTTTTGCCTCCTACAAACAAGAAAAAAATCAGCACAGACGCTTCAGAATAACGACTTAAATTTACACCCCCCCCCCCCCCCCCAATATTTAAAAACAATCATAAAATTGACCAGCGATTAAACAAGGATAAAAATACAGACCATTATTATTTGTTCATGGTTAGAAGTTATGAAACTCTTTTCTCTTGGTCAGCCAAATAGAAAATACGCAGGATTTTATATTTATTAACAATATTTATCATTTAATATAGAAATACAATTCAAATACTTACAAAGATAAACGCAAATATAAAGTTGTAAAAAATAAACTATTACTAATGATCAACAAAGTATTAATATTAATAAAGATAAATAATTAAAATGTAAGAAAAATGAACAAAGAAAGCACACTACAACAAGGCATGATCTTTAATTACGTATTCATTAATTATTCAGTGAATTTGTCTCGCGCTTTCGTACCTGCTTCACTACATAGGAGGCATTATTAGTGATGAGATACTCTGCTGCATCAATAGCGCTCAAGATGTTTGTGACTTTGACCTGAAACACAAACAAAAATGGTTCAGACACAAAGAAAAGTTATTGGATGTTTTTGATGTCATTTTTCTTCTCACTGGCAGGTCACTGGATGTCTTCTGCAGCAGTTTGATGCTCTGGCTCAGGGTGCTCTGTGCACAAAACAAAAATACATTCAAACATGAATGCTTCGCTGTCTGTCCAGTCACAAACACATCACTGCTGCCACAAGCACCAACTTTTACACCAAACACACACACACAACCACATAAGCAGCTTACCCGCGCCTTGACATATTTCTGTCACCAGAAAAGAAAAGATTTGGCAGAATAAACAAATGAAGAAACTATTAAAAATGTGTTTAGTTGATAACACAGAGTCAAAAGGTTTAGATTTTGCTGCTACTGCAGCCTAGCAGCGATCTTCCAGGAGTGTTTTTATCATTCATGTTGTGATAATTACCATAGCTTGCTCCAGAGGAACCACCTGCTCTCTGTGAATGGTTCTGATGCTGCTGGCGTGTCCTTTCAGAGCGTTCTCCAGAGCACCGCGTGGCTGCAAACACACGCTTGTTTCATGATGACAAGAGCAGCAAACCGGTTTTAAGCTCCTGACATAATTTAATAGTTACGCCGGGGACACACCGGCTGCGGAAGCGCCGCGAAGCGCCGAGAAGTGAATCGCTCACGAAATTCGGCCGCTGCTCGCCGCTCCTCAGTTCAGATCAGACGCGCCCCAGTCGAGGCGCGCCTCGACTCAGCTGTAGTTTTTCTTTTAAACACTTGGTGTCTCCATTTCCTCTCTGCCTTTTCTCAGCTCTTTTCCTCTACGTTTGAGTGTTTGTACGCATGTGCGCGCATGTGTGCGTGTGTGTGTGTGTGTGTGTGTGTGTGTGTGCGCGTGTGTGTGTGTGTGAACCTATGGTATGAGTTGTTTCTGCCAGTTCAATCTCTTGGAACCTGCTCCAATTCTACAGCTGTATCCTAGCAGTTTCTTCCGAAATAGGTACGTAAATAATCATGTTTTTTGGGGGTCGTACAGCTCCTTGTGTTTCTCAACTTCCATAATTCATTTAAAGTCATCCATCCTAACTGCTTGCCTCAGACTTTCTGCCTCTCTGTCCTGTTTGCTCCGGTGAAAAGACACCCAAAAACACCCCCCCCTTCGCGTGGTCACACACGCACACAAGTTCGATGTGTGTGTATGTGTGTGCGTGTTCGTGTGGTTTTTCTGCAGTGTCTGTTTACGAACACATTTGACTATTGCGGAATTTTATTTTGAAATGCTTTATTTTGTTAACTTTACCGGCCTGCCTCTTATGTCTACGTTTGACTTCCTGCCAGAATTGACGCGATTCACCCGCGGCTCGCGAAAAAAATAGAGCCAACGCCGAAATGATTGCTGCACGGCGCGGGCTGGAGCGCCGGCGCGAGGCGATTCGCGGCGCTTCGGCGGCCCATATGGACTATAGAATAGCTTAACAAGGGCGCCGAATGAAGGCGGCCCCATTTTCGCGGCGCTTCCGCGGCCAGTGTGTCCCCGGCGTTAGTCTCCAGCTTCAAACATGTGATCTAAATAATAACTAGCTTCACAGACAAACAAATATAGTTCTGTGTGCCAATGGCTCGTGTTCAGGTCCGGTACCGTGACTGTTTATGTGCTCCGGGTGAATGGATCGCTTGTTTTAACCGAAGAGGCGGATCAGTTTTTGCACTTGGATGCTTAAGAAGTTCAGCAACTTTTACATATTTTATCATATATGTCTAGATTATAAAAATAGGAACAAAACAAACAAACAAAAGAAACCAAACTTCTTTTGCTTTTTGTTTGTTGAAGAAAATGAAAATAAATTTCAAATGCTCTCTAAATTTTATTTTAATGATCAAACTCACATGTAAATTAAGCAGGAGGTTAGTGGCAGGTGTGTGAATGTAGTTCAGTAGCTGCCTTTGATAGAATAAATGGAACTTGGATGGGTCTCTCTCATTATTACTCACCTTGACATACCGTTGTTTTAAGCATTATAATCTAATGCTTTTGTCATGACTCATTTTTCAGCCTTCATTCAGCTCACCTGGTCCCCTCACCAAGCTCCTGACAAGCCCTGTCTCCCTGGCAACCACCATCAACTCCATTCATCTCACCTGTTCCTGTAATCAGCTTCATCCACTTCACCTGCTCCTGACTCCTCATCTCACACACCTGCTTCCCCTGCTGTTGTTTTCTTCAACAGCATATGTTAATCGTATTCCATATTTTTACATTTTTTATGCACCAGGAATATGGAGGAGTGCATATGCAATTTGATGTTTTCAATGGTTTGAGATAAATAAATAAATAAAAATAAATAAATAAATAAAAAATAAAAGAACCATCCTGCTATCCAGTCTCTGCCAGATTATTGAAAACATTTGCCAGTAAATTCTCCAGCCATCCACCCTGCCTGATATCTGCCTCCGGACCTTGTTTTTTCTCCTGACCCCTGCCTTGAACTCTGCCTGCCATCACGACCCTCGCCTGTCTTCTACCACGTCTCCAGCCCCTGCTCCCTGTACCTGCTTGTGCCGATCTGGTTTAGACTCACGCCTACCCTCCGACTCTGTCTCCTGCCTCGCCCTCCTCTGGTAACTCCACAAAAAATAAAAGATTCTTTTTACATACTTTTACTGTGTTTGGCGTCATTACGGGACTTCTGAGTTCTGCTCGTGACGGAAAAATCTGGCCAAAAGTCTGACCCGACGCTGACACAGCACTTGGGAGTATTTTTTTCTTTCTTTCATTATACCTGTCATGGAGGATCTCACGCTCCTGGAGTTTATGGAACTAGAAAGAGAACGAGTCACCGTTTTGGGGAACACGTTTAGCCATCAGGCCACTGCCACGCAGGGGTTCCTCTCCCTCCTTCCAGGTCTGCTGCAACAGTCTTGTGCAGCGGGTTCATGACCACGCAACAGTGCCAGACCCCCCCCTATCATCACGCCGCTCCAGCCTCAAACTCCTCCTGTCAGGTCATGACGGCGGCGGTCCCAGAGATTTTCTGGAGCTGCTAAGAGGGTTGATCCTTCTCCAGTGCTGGTATCGGCGGGTTCCTCGGACAACACCTCATGTTCTGCTTCTGGACCGGTCCCAACGGAGGAGATTGTTCAGAAGATGATGCAGATGGTCGAGGAAGCTATGTGGGAGGTCTTTGCCAAGCCAAACTGCCCCCATTTACGTCTGCGGGTGGCTGAAAGGTTGAATGCCATCTTCTCCACCCATCCAGAATAGATAGCAGTTCCAGCCCTTGGTAATTACTACCTTTATGTCCGGAGTGTATATGGGTCCGCACTTAAGGATGTCACCGCAGAGGGTCTGACCTGCTGTGAGAGGTGGTCATCTTCCCCAGAACCCTACAACGCACCGCTTCCTGCTACAGCGGTGGTCCTGGAGGACGCATTGCATGCTGCTCCGGCGGTGGTCCCGGAGGACGCATTGCATCCTGCTCCGGCGGTGATCCCGGAGGACACAGTGCATCCTGCTCCAGCGGTGGTCCCAAGGGTCGCATCGCATCCTGCTCCAGCGGTGGTCCCGGAGGACGCATCGCATCCTGCTCCGGCGGTGGTCCCGGAGGACACATCGTATCCTGCTCCGGCAGTGGTCCCGGAGGACGCATCGCATCCTGCTCCGGCGGTGGTCCCGGAGGACGCATCGCATCCTGCCTCAGCGGTGGTCCCTGAGGACGCATCGCATCCTGTTCCGGCGGTGGTCCCGGAGGACGCATCGCATCCTGCCTCAGCGGTGGTCCAAGAGGTCTCATCACATCCTGCTTCGGCGGTGGTCCAAGAGGACGCATCGCATCCTGCTTCGGCAGTGGTCCAAGAGGACGCACAGGCTCCGGTCCAGCCCATCCAAGAGGCTCTGGTCCTTCCTGTTCCCGAGTTGGAGGTTCCTGTTCCGGAGTCGACGTCCACGTCTCAAGTCTCGGAGTCGACGCCCACGTGTCAAGTCTCGGAGTCTACGTCCCCACCAGTCACAGAGTCTACATCCCCACCAGTCTCTAGTGTCCCCTCTTAGTCTAAGCCCAGTATCCCCTCTTAGTCATCCTCCTCTAGTGTCCCCTCTTAGTCCTCGTCCTCTAGTGTCCCCTCTTAGTCCTCGTCCTCTCGTGTCCCCTCTTAGTCTAAGCCCAGTGTCCCCTCTTAGTCTAAGCCCAGTGTCTCCTCTTAGTCGTCCTTCTCTAGTGTCCCCTCTTAGTCTAAGCCCAGTGTCCCCTCTTAGTATAAGCCCAGTGTCCCCTCTTAGTCCTCGTCCTCTAGTGTCCCCTCTTAGTCCTCGTCCTCTAGTGTCCCCTCTTAGTCTAAGCCCAGTGTCCCCTCTTAGTCCTCGTCCTCTAGTGTCCCCTCTTAGTCTAAGCCCAGTGTCCCCTCTTAGTCAAAGCCCAGTGTCCCCTCTTAGTCCTCGTCCTCTAGTGTCCCCTCAGTGCCTTAGCCCAGAGTCCCCTCGTAGTCGCAGTCCAGAGTTCCCTCGTAGTCGTAGTCCAGTGTCCCCTCTTAGTCGTGGTCCAGAGTTCCCTCTGTCCCCTCAGTCTCCAGTGTCCCCTCTTAGGCGTAGTCCTGTGTCCCCTCTGTGTCCAGAGTCCCCTCAGTCTTCAGTGTCCCCTCTTAGTCCTCATCCTCTAGTGTCCCCTCGTAGTCGTAGTCCAGAGTTCCCTATGTCCCCTCAGTCTCCAGAGTCCCCTCATAGTCATAGTCCAGTGTCCCCTCTTAGTTGTGGTCCAGAGTTCCCTCTGTCTCCAGAGTCCCCTCGTAGTCCAGCGTCCCCTCTTAGTCGTAGTCCAGAGTCCCCTCTTAGTCCTCGTCCTCCAGTGCCCTCTATCCCCAGACTTCCGCAGTCCCAGCTCCTGGTTCCCCGTCGCCGGCCCCCCAGACTCCCGCAGTCCCGGCCCCTGGTTCCCCGTCGCCGGCCCCCCAGACTCCCGCAGTCCCGGCTCCTGGTTCCCCGTCACCGGCCCCCCAGACTCCCGCAGTCCCGGCCCCTGGTTCCCCGCCACTCACCCCCCAGACTCTTCTGGCCCTCCTTCCTGGTCCCCCTCCTCCCGCCCTGCTCTGGTTTCCTGTGGGCGTCTTGAATCCGCCCTTGGGGGGAGGAGGGGGGGGGGGGGGGGGGGGGGTTCTGTCATGACTCTCATTTTTCAACCTTCATTCAGCTCACCTGGTCCCCTCACCAAGCTCATGACAAGCCCTGTTTCCCTGGCAACCACCATCAACTCCATTCATCTCACCTGTTCCTGTAATCAGCCTCATCCACTTCACCTGCTTCCCCTGCTATAAAAGAACCATCCTGCTATCCAGTCTCTGCCAGATTATTGAAAACATTTGCCAGTAAATTCTCCAGCCATCCACCCTGCCTGATCTCTGCCTCCGGACCTTGTTTTTCTCCTGACCCCTGCCTTGAACTCTGCCTGCCATCACGACCCTCGCCTGTCTTCTACCACGTCTCCAGCCTGCTCCCTGTACCTGCTTGTGCCGATCTGGTTTTGACTCACGCCTGCCCTCCGACTCTGTCTCCTGCCTCGCCCTCCTCTGGTAACTCCACAAAAAATAAAAGATAATTTTTATATACTTTTACTGTGTTTGGCGTCATTACGGGTCTTCTGAGTTCTGTTCGTGACAGCTTTGTGATTTTTAACTGTAGAAACTGCTCTAAAGTTGATTTAATTAGTTTGAAGTGGACTCACCAGCTGGTCGGCCTGCTCCTCCAGGTCAGAACAGAAAGACAGCAGGTCAACAAGCGTGATCCCCTTATTCAGCTAAAAGAAAAAAGATAATTTATCAGTCAAACAAACCAACATGAGGTATTAATAAAGTTTAAAGATGCATTAGAAAGCTCTATATAGCATGTTAAACGTTGTTGAGGCTCAAAATGACCCCAGAGCCCTGATAAAAGGCCAAACACAACCCGATAATGAAAGCATTACAAAGACCAGTTTGCAAGAACATGAATGTGAAAGGAGCTGCGTGTTGATTGGCCAAGGACACAACAGCAGGGACAGACTGAACGGGGGAGCAAACCTGCAACCCTCTGGTTACAGGACAGACGCTTTACTCCTCTGCCAGAGTCACTAATGGGTCTATGAATGCCCGAAGCTAGAAACTGTGTGTATCGTGTGGGTGTCTGTGTGTGGGGTTGCAAGAACGAGGAAGTGGGTGCAGGGTGTGGGAGAGTAGAAGATCAAGTCTGTCTGGCTGGTTGTGGAGCTAGGGTTTGTGAACTAAAGAGGACGAGGACCTGAAGCTGTAGATCTAGCTGGCATTCATTCTAAGTCTGGATATTCCCAGCACATCCTGGAGCGTGAGCGTTGCTCCAACATTCTTCTTTGTTGTTTTTCTCTTGTCCAGCGATGTTAGCAGTAGCTCAAGCTAGAGTTAAAACTGTACTTTGGTATAACGTTAGCAGTTGCTTGGGCTAGCGTTAGTAGTGGGAACTAGCTTTAGCTTAGGCGAATGCTAGCAGGAGCTCGGGCTAGTGTTCTTTTGCGGTTAGCATTACAATGACCAACGTTTATATATTGACAATGTTGGAGCTGGTTGGGATATGCAAATTTAAAGTGGTGTGTCTTTATGTTTATGAAGAGTTAAACCAGCTTTTTTCAGGACTACCAATTTGTCTGTGGCCATTACGACACAACTAGTTTACATAGGAGAGCAGGTTGGACACGGCACAAACCTTTTGGTAAGCTACAGTAGACACCAAAAGCTGCCTATATTCAACTACAACAAAAAATGTGGTTTTAAATTTCAGGACACCTTTAAATAATAAAATACAACAACTTATGGTTAAAAAATCTGTCCCATATTCCTGACATGTAAGGGCCTCTGCTTACGTGTCAGGAACCCTAACCCTAACCCCCCAAACACGCACACACACAAACACGCACATTACCTCAGCCAAATAAGCAGGATAGTCTATCTCTCCGAGTCCAGAGTTGGCAAAGTTCATGAGGTTGTCTCTGCCCACCTGCTCCAGCAGTGCAACATTCTTCAGGTCCACCTTCACACCTTCTAGCACTTTGCCCAGATCCTTGTTGTACTGTTGGGAAACCCTCGTTAGCCCTCAAGTGGTTCTTATTGTTCCATCAACAACAAAGCTGCACAGTCAGGCCACACTTACCACAGTTCTGTTGAGGAAGGAGTTAATGTTGAAAATGTTCTCCAGCTGCAGAGCATGATATAGCCCGTTGTTCTCATAGCATTCCCTTTCAGAAAAAAGATGAATTACCTCCACATGAGAGGGATTTTTATTTAAAATAAGAAAACATCAAATCTATTTTCGCATTTGAAAGTCACATGCAAAGCTTTTCTCTTTCCAAATCAGCTCACATGTTTCAGTTAGAAATCTAAAGACAAGTTTAATAGTTGATTTGCTTTAAAACATAAAAGCTCAAATCTAGCAGCATGTACCTGTACATGGCGCCCAACGTCAAGTCGATATTTGGATTCTGAAACAGCATTGCAGGAAGGAAATTCTTCTTTTCAGGATGAACCAGGAAGGGTGTGTCTATGATCTGGATGCACACAAACACACATTATTGCCACAGAGTAAACGTTAAGTCCACATATCGAGGAGGGAGAAGCATTTAACAAAGAAGTTTGAGTCCAATACCTTGAATAGCTGTCGGTTAGACAGAGGCTCACACATTAGCTTCTCTATGTTTCCACCAACAACAAACATGGTGGTCACGAGGCCCATCAGCACCCAGGCAAAGATAAATGAGAAACCCACCCCTCTAGAAGAGCAGAACACATTCAGAGGGGGTTAATCACAGTAAATAAAAACCCAGCTTCAGCTTTCACTTTTCTGTGTGCATGTTGTCATGGCTACATACGCCATCAACAGGTTTCCTCCGGTGTTAGACAGACAGCCGCGGGTTGTGGGGGTAGCTTGCTTGTCATAGCCACAGGTGCCACAAAGCAGGCCAAGAATGTTAAAGGCCAGAACCAGAACGACAGCACAGAGCATGGCCACGCAACCGATCCACCTGCAGCACCAACACAGGTGTTGGCGAGCAACAAAACCAGGAGGTATACCTGAACAGCATCAAGGGTGTTGTTGCACAAACCTGTAGAAGTCCATTTGGTCGACCTGTGGGTAAAATGACTCAATGGTTTTGTGTTGTTGGTTAAGAAATATGGTGAAATTGGCTAGAGAGGCTTCCACTGGGAACATCTTAGTGAAGGCCATTATCTCATTGCCGATCTTATCCAGCATGCCTTTAACTCCTGCAAACACACACATGAACACAAACAAAAAAAGGACAAATCGATTAATCAAAAATAAGTAAATGAATTCAGGTGGATATATTAAGAAAAATCAGAAATGGAAATCTAACAGGAAGATGTTTCCAAACTTAAATGAGCTCATTCTGGCTGCTGAGGATTTACGGAGCTCACATGAATCTTTCTCACATGCGGAAAAACCTCTTGCATTACCAGAAGTTCTCTTTTAATTGGGGGGAGGGGACACACTGTTATAAATGAACTGGACTTACGAGGCAGAGCTGGGTTTTGTTGCGCACAGGTATGCATGTGGACGTGAGAAGGGAGGAATATGAAAGATAATAATTAGCAGTAATAAGAGATAAATAAATAAAAGAGGATTAGCAACCACTGGACTAAATGCTAACACAGAGCTGCTCCATGTGCTACATGTGACACAGCTACACATGCGTGCACACACACATATCTAAGTACCTGAAACAATGTTTTTGGTCTGATCTTTGACCAGAGTGGGTGTGTCATTAAAGGATGCATAACCCTGCAGGGGAATACAGAGAAAGCAAATCAAACCTTAATGAAGACCGAAAGATGAATGAAGAAGGGTTATGATCAAGATTCTGTTACAAACCTTCTGAACAATGTTGCTGAGATCTACTTTCAGTATGGTGTTAACGTTAGCCAAGGCGCGGCTAACATCTGGAAGCTGGAAGAAACAATAACGCGAGATGAGGAAAGTTTTCGCTCCTGTCTCACTCTCAGCTCGACCGTGTTTTTATTATGTCTCATTACTTTGGAGAAGTCAGCATTGATTCCAAGTTGAGCCAGCGTAGAACGGATGGTGTTGCAGGTGTGAGACACGGCTCCGTTGGTGCAGGCTGGGTCGGACAGGGTGTTGGACAGAGAGGCTCGCTCTCCAGCAAGACTGGCCTGAAGTTTTCCCATCCCATCCTGAAGGGTCTCCAACGAGGAGCTGACATTCTCCAAAGCCTCTTTGGTTTCCCGCATAGCTAAAGACGCACGACACATTAGCAAGTTGTTTCGTTCTGTTATGTAACAAAAACACTGATGATCACAGCCCTACAGCCCACAGACATCCACAAAACATTACACACAGATTCAAGATGTTAGTTTCAAACATTTCCACAAAGACCAAAACCACTAACACCACACCACAGAATCCAGATCAGTTCTGTTTACCTTTGATAGCACTCTCAACTTTTGCTTTAAATACAAGAAAATGTGAGGAAATCAAGGAAAACAATGTCAGCAGTTGTTGTTAAAACTATTATTATTATTGGGGGGGGGGGGGGGGGGGGGGGGGTCACAAAGGCAGCAAGTAAAATATGATTATAGGAAAAAAACTAGCAACAACGCAAAAAAAAAATCTGACATTTTTAAGATAAGTTGTCAGTTCTGTGCTGCTAATCTCAAAGTTTTTCTTTAAAGAGTAAATCACTCCAAATCTACTTTCTTTGTTGATAGACTGTATGTGCTGTAGAGGTGTGGTCAGTTTGGCATTTTAGCGCATCTTATTTGGAATAAAAGTATTCAGCCTAAAACTGTCATTATTGTGCCCTCTTCAGGCTAAAACTCTTCACTACATTGAATATGAATCAGCCATTGCTTGTGGTTCAGAGGCACCCAGTGGCATTGCTGATAGTGGCAAGCACAGTCTTGGTCACGCCTCCAATCAAGAGCTGATGCAAAACAATGTGGAAAAACTTCTTTCCCCTTTCCTCTGGTGAAGGAGGTGGACAAGAATCCTACAACATGCTGCTTTTTTTCTGTCTGCACATCAAACTGAGCGGTGTGTGTGTGTGTGTGTGTGTGTGTGTGTGTGTTAATAGCTTGTTTCTTCAATGGAAAAACTCAGAGTGCACGGGACATTAGGTATGCTGCCTCATTGCCACACTCTCAGTCCACCAGGCAACGTCTCTGTTTGGTGCAATTATTCAATCAGGAAGTGTGGGTGGAGTAAGACTCTGGACAGGGGTGACTTACTCTTTAAATCATGTTTTAAATACAATTTTTTGTCTTTAAATTAATCCTCTGATCTTGGCAGATTTTGAATGTATGCATGTGACTTGGTCTGGACAGATAATAATTTATTAGGTAAATATTGGTTCTATTTGGCAACATTTATCTGTTATTTGTGTTGTTAAAAAATAAAATGTACTTTATCACTTTCATGTTTCAGTTTCATATGTGGTACAGATAATGTTGTTTCGGTCTGGTGTTACCTCCTGCCATTCGAAGTGCGGCGTCCAGAGCAGGAACCACTTCTTTCTCTAGATTACTGTGGATCCGAGCTCCCAGCAGAGGCCCGATGTCTGTCAGACAACAAACCGTTTCACACTAACTGCACAACTAGAAAAACCCTCACATTAGAGGTTAGAATGGCTGATTTCAGCTTACTGTCCAGGTCTGACAGGACTTTGTTCTTTGCAGTTGTGTACTGGGCTGTCAGGTATTCCACTTGCTGCAGAACAGAACCACACAGTAACATTAGAGGAGGCCTTTGCATGTACGTTATGTACAGTACGTATGAGCGTTAGAGAGCATACCGCTGGGGTGTTGTTAGCAAACGTCTTTAGGTCCCTCATGTTGGTATTTATAAGTCGTCTGGTGTTTTTAATCTGAGAGCTGATGTTATGATTGGCAGCGTAGGCAACAAGTACGCCCAGACTGAAAGACAAATGGGAAGAGAAGATGCAGAGACTGATATTCACCACTGCAGGGCAGCATTGCTACATAACCAGGACCAACGCAGCAATTGATCACTGGGCTGGTGCTTCATTTCAGTTTCATTATCAGAATAACTTCTGTAAAATAAAGATACAAACAAAACCTGCATGATTTTTAAATATAGAATATATATATATATATATATATTCTAAAATATATAATATGTTATAAAAAAGTATTTAGTCAGCCACCGATTGTGCAAGTTCTCCCACTTAAAATAATGACAGTGGTCAGTAATTTACATCATAGGTACACTTCAACTGTGAGAGACAGAATGTGAAAAAAAATCCATGAATTCACATGGCAGGATTTTTAAAGAATTTATTTGGAAATCAGGGTGGAAAATAAGTATTTGGTCAATAACAAACATTCAACTCAATACTTTGTAACATAACCTTTTTTGGCAATAACAGAGGTCAAACGATTACTATAGGTCTTTACCAGGTTTGCACACACAGTAGCTGGTATTTTGGCCCATTCCTCCATGCAGATCTTCTCGAGAGCAGTGATGTTTTGGGGCTGTCGCCGAGCAACACGGACTTTCAACTCCCTCCACAGATTTTCTATGGGGTTGAGGTCTGGAGACTGGCTAGGCCACTCCAGGACTTTCAAATGCTTCTTATGGAGCCACTCCTTTGTTGCCCGGGCGCTGTGTTTGGGATCATTGTCGTGTTGGAAGACCCAGCTACGTTTCATCTTCAAAGCTCTCACTGATGGAAGGAGGTTTTGGCTCAGAATCTCACGATACATGGCCCCATTCATTCTGTCCTTAACACGGATCAGTCGTCCTGTCCCCTTAGCAGAAAAACAGCCCCAAAGCATGATGTTCCCACCCCCATGCTTCACAGTAGGTATGGTGTTCTTGGGATGCAACTCAGTATTCTTCTTCCTCCAAACACGACGAGTTGAGTTTATACCAAAAAGTTCTACTTTGGTTTCATCTGACCACATGACATTGACATAATCCTAGCGTGCAATGTTCTGTTACTCTTAAAAAATCAGTGAAAATGCTGAAAAACGCTGGCAGTGAAGAGCTTTTCTGATCAGCAAATGGCTGGCAGTGAATTAGTTAAAGGGGAACTAGGCAGTTTTGGGTTGCTTTTAGCACCCCCTATTGTCTGTTTGTAAAACCAAAGGTAAAACTTATCTCCTTGCTCTGTGTTTGTCTTTTTAACACCTTAATCTAACAGCTGAAACATCTACCCAGCCTTCTTTAGAGTCTACAGGAGTGATTCATTACTAAATTAAACTAATAAGCTGTGTTCATGATCTAAAACATGCAGGAAATGTGCTGGAAAAAGACTACAGCACCAGGAGACAGGTGTAGGAGACTATTTTCATGTTCAGCCTGCATGAAAAACTAAGCATGAATTCACTATCAAACATGGGATGCCTATAATAACAAACTGTTTTAAATGTCTTTGTCTACTTTTTCTTTGATCAAAATTTAACTATTTAAAATGTATTTAAAGGCCTTGTTGTTCAGCTTCCAGAACACCTCTATTGACTTATGATTCTATAGCAGACTAAATGAAATCCATTCATCTATCAGCATATATATAGCATAATAACAGAAAATACAGATGCATTAAAACCTTAGTTTAGCAATCCACTTAATAAATCTACCTGGAGCGGGTACTCCATGCTTTTGTAATTTCTAGGCTTGATTACTGCAACTCTCTATATGCAGGGTTGTGTCAGTCATCACTGCGTCGCCTACAGGTTGTGCAGAACAGCGCAGCCAGGTTCCTGACTGGGACCAGGAAACGGGACCACATCAGTCCGGTTCTGCCCTCCCTGCACTGGCTTCCGGTTTGCTATCGTGCACAATTCAAAATCCTCCTCTTTGTTTACAATTTCTCCCAGGGTGGTGCTCCCCCCTATCTAGCCACACTCCTGAACAGACACTCCCCATCACGCGCTCTGCGCTCCTCTGACCAAGGCCTGCTCGCTGTCCCTAGTTCTAGGTGTCGTACTCGCGGGGACCGGGCTTTCTCAGTCCTAGCACCGTCACTCTGGAACCAGTTGCCACCCTAAGCTGTCCCCATCTCTGCCAGTCTTTAAGAGTCGCCTAAAAACAAACCTTCTCCGCTTGGCGTTTCCTGAACATGTTTGATTCGGCCCTCTTTTACGTTGAATTTCTTTTGCAGTTTTCATTGGTTCACTCAATCCCTTGTTTTACCCATCTGTCCTGTACTAGAATGTTTCACCTTTTTTTGTAATTTGTATTTTGTAATTTTAATTGCTTTTATTGTTGATTTATTCAATATATTTACCTACAACTGTACCATGTTCAGCGCCTTGGGCTTCCTGACAGGGTTGCGGAAGGCGCTTTATAAATAAAGCTTTGATTGATTGATTGAAATCTTGTGCATTTCTGACCTACTGATATCAACTCTGGTCGATTTCGATAGAATCAGCATCCAGCGATGGTGCAAATATCAAATGTTTTTACACTTTTTTTAATCTTTTAAGGATCATGTTTGAAAGTTCTTAGCGAGTAAAGCTTTTTAGGCTAATTTAAATCAGGAAACAGGATGTTTAATAACCAGCTCCCCATTTCCTCTTTTGAATACATTTTCATGTAAACTTACAAAAATTAAGTACTTATTTTCCCCCCCCATAAACTAAGAAGTCATTACAGCTCATCAGAATGAACAATCAGTACAGTCATGATGAACAAACCAACTCATAATCAGAAGTCACAATGAAGGGAAATGAGAGGATGACAACTCACATGATGAAGACGGTGGTGGTGAAGAGCGAGGCGGTGAAGAAACCTCGATAACAGTCTGCGTTTTTTCTCTGTCTCTGATGCATCTCGCCTCCGCAGTTGTCGCAGCATCGACACATGCAGAAACATGCGGCTATGATGGGGGTGAAAACCACAAACATGATACCGACCACCGCACATATCAAGAACCCGGACTCGTAATGGATCCACTGCAGGACAAGGAGAAGATCCATCAGAATCACTTATATCTTGCATTTTGTGCAAGTGAACATTTAAAAGTGTTTACCTGCAGCAGTAGGACAACGTTTTCTGGCTGTGACACCAAATCACACGAGGAAAAGAAACAAAACAGGGTCAGTGTGAACATTTTACAGTAATATTTGTTAAAACCTTTATTTTTGCCCACTTTAAAGGTCAAATAATGAGATATTTCTCAGAACATAGTGAGCTTTAATTACAGGTAACATATTGATTCATTGGTACACGTACCTTCCTCCATTCTTCTACTTTGACTCCTCCTTTGTTTTGCTGAACAACTTTAACAATGAGATCTGGAAGAAGATAAGCATTAGTATGTCTAAGTGCGTAGAGACACAAGTGTCTATTTTTAGTGATTTTTACAGCTGGATGCAGATAATGACAGTCAGCATAGAAGTGAGGAAATCCATTTATCTGTTCACCAACAGACAACGTAGATTACTTGTAATCAGTTTTTAATATCCGAGGACAGTATTGTGATGGTGTTTCCTCTCGCAGCTAACAGCTGGGTGTTTGCGGGGACTGATGGAACCGTGGAGTCCGCCAGTGTGGACTTTAGTTCAGTCCGGCATGTGTACCGTATATAGGTCAACCAACACTAATCCTACCTGCACAGTAATTCAACTGGGCTGTTACTCAACAGGTAAAACACTGATTCCTTCAAACACACACACACACACACACACACACACACACACACACACACACACACACACACACACACACACACACACACACACACACACACACACACACACACACACACACACACACACACACTAGCATTTGTTGTAAGGACTGTCATTGACTTCTATTCATTTTAGTGACTGGGTTGTGCCTAACCATAACTATCTCTAACCATAACCATTCTATTCCTAACCCCAACCTTAACTAAAACTTTGGTGGTCGAAGGTTACAATTCTAGACTACTGCCTATGTGTATATACATCTACCTTTGTTATGATTGTTCTTCAAATTATTCTCTTAAGTGTTGGTGCTGCTGTAACAAGCTAATTTCCCCACTGTGGGACCAATAAAGTCTATTCTATTCTTATTCACACCCTACCTCCAAAACTATGGAGTAGAGCTCTGTGTGACGACCCTCGTCCCCTCGGTCCTCGGAGAGCCAGGATTAGCCTGTGTTTCTCCCGAGCTCATAGACACTTGATGCTAAGGTTAAATCTTTGCGGTACGGGTTTAGGGTGTTTTCTATAAGGAATAGGCTTAGTTTCCTCTTTTGTAGGATTTATCTGACAAGGCGTCAGTTTTCTTATTTTGGTGGCTTTCATCCCCATTTGACTTATAAGCCGGGGATATTTTCGTTTAGGTGGTTGTCATTTAAGTTAGGCAGAAAGCCTTTTTCATAAGCAGTTAGTCTGCTTATGTTTTCAGTTTCCACCTTTTAATCACCAGTATTACTAAGCCTTATTTGTGCCTTAGCAGCGGACACCTTTTGTTAATAAACCCTTTTGTTTTTACTCTCACCACCTCATTATTTGTCCTCACACACACTCCTACACCTTTTTTCCTGTGTTAGTCCCCTCATCCTCCTAGACCCTGGGGTGACAGTGGCACAGGAGTTAAGTGCTCGCCCCGTAATCGGAAGGTTGCAGGTTCGAGCCCCGCTCAGTCTGTCGCTGTCGTTGTGTCCTTGGGCAAGACACTTAACCCACGCTTTCGTTCTTTTTTAAACACAGAAACAGTTTTGTTTACCTGTTAGTAGCTACGGTTTCGCCGACGGCTGCTGGCTTCTTCAGGCTGACGCTGATGCGCTTTACCCACGTTGCCTGCTGGTGGTGGTCGGAGGGACCGGTGGTGCCAGTGCTCGGCAGCCTCGCCTCTGTCAGTGCGCCCCAGGGCAGCTGTGGCTACATTGTAGCTCATCCCCACCAGTGTGTGAATGTGTGTGTGAATGGGTGAATGACTGATTGTGTTGTAAAGCGCCTTGGAGGGTTCCAGGACTCTAGAAGGCGCTATATCAAATACAGGCCATTTACCATTTACCTTCCGAGGGACGTAACACTCTGTAACATTGGTACCAAAGTGAGGACCAGCAAAATGTTGTCACTTTGGTACCAATGTCCTCAGTTTGCAGGTGAAAAGCTGTCATTGGTCCTCAGTTTGATGGATAGACAAGTATAGACACACACACACACACACACACATTTCCGTCACTCCAAGGGACATCTTCATGAATGACTTGGATACTTACTCAAATCATAACCTGACAAACTTTTACCATCATCTTAACCTGCACCGAACCCTGTTGTTATAATTGTTTGTATTGCAGAGGTATTTAATCACAAGTCACTATAATGTGGCAGATTTTCACACAAACACACACCTTCTGCAAATCTACTGACCACTGGGAAAGTGTGAATGATTTATCTACAGTGATTTGTTTTGTTTTTAAAGCTTTAAAAACTCTAAATTTAAAAGATGTGGATTATTTTTTATCTTGATTAGAGAAGCGAGGATTAGAGGAGAGGAGGGGATTTTGAAATCTGAACAGCTATAGGGAGCCCATCTTCTTCTGGACCATGGGTCCCCAGCTGCACAAAAAAATGAGTCTGAGCAGATAAAAGTTATTTTCGGATCCTGTGTGTTATGCATCATGGATTTCACATGTCTGTAAATTTTAAAGATAAATTTCAATGCCAAGAAAGCACTTATTTTTTAAAGGTGGCAAAATTATTTTAAGTTTTGTGTGAAAATATGTAGAGGACTACAAATGTGTGTCTCACCAAATTAATGTCATTGAACCAGACAGAGAGAAAAAGAGAAGAAAAATGGCTGAGTTTAGTAAGCTTCATATCCTTCTGAGGAGCATTAAATGTGGATAAAATCCCTATAAATCTGGCCACGTGGAAAGTAGAAGCTACGCTGGGGGAGATGGGATTCTGCTGTGACGTCATTTATGTGACTTGTGATTTGTAGTCCTTTTAATTACCAATTTAACAAGCTAACAAATCAAAGCATGTGACAAACATTGTCAAAACGCACATTATTTTAATTAAAATTGAAATACAACATATATGTGATTCAGGGTGTAAGGCAAAGAGGTTTAGAAAATAGCTTCCATGGCCTCGTTCACTTGCATTTATTTTTTCTTTGCTCCAGGGATCCATGAGCCGACTGGAAGGGGAGGAGACTTAGGCTCCCACTCGTGTTCCCCTTCAGGAATCCACATTTCATACCTCACACACAAAAAGCATACACCTGATTCTAAATGCTGAGTTATCTCCTGAGCCTTTTTGTGTTTTGCAGGAGCTGCTAATTATTCATTTTAATCAAATTTGAAGTGTTCAAGTAATGAAATGTTTAAAAACTGGCAGCAATATGGCACCCATGATGGTTTCCCACCCCTGCTAACGCTACAGTAGATTAAAACTCTGATTTAGAGTAAGGTTGAACTCTACGCTAATCACTTAGCTCCATTACACTAAAGATAAATCCCTTTTCACCACCCTTCCCACTCTTCCACAGTTAAACTTTACAGACTGACATTAATTCAATGCAGGTCGAGTTAGCATTCAAGCTAGGTTTGTGTAATAAGCTGTGCGTCACCCTGTAGTGCATGCTGGGTAATAGAGGCACATTGTCAGTGATTGAGAGCTGCCTCTTGTGTATACACAACTCTATTAGTCAATGCTCTAAGCTCGCTTATAAATGATTTGCTTTGCTATAGGCCAGCAGAGGGACTTAGGGGAAATAATGAATTCTGAAAGATTACCTACATTTTAATGATAGAAAAGGGCCAGATAGTCATATTAAAACCTTTTAAGTTACTTTAAATTATTTTAACCATGTACCCCAGCTTTATGAAATAATAATCTTGCATTACATAATCAGTATATGGATTTCTTCATCCCATGTCTCGGTGAATTAAACTGGACAGAAATAAAATCAGAAATGATATCGAATCTTAGCTTGAAAACTCTGATCAATAATAATTCACGAAAGAGCTAACTAACATTCTCTGTTTTGACACCCCCGATCAAGTGGACAGAAAGAAAACTCCTCTAGACAGCTGATTTAGTTCTAATACAACTTTCTGGTGAGTAAAAGGGAAAAGGAACAGTGATTTGGGGTATCTTTGGTGATATGGGTAATCCTCTCACCACCATCTCATTCTGATGGCGGGAGGCAACCAACCTGAATATTATGTGATTGTTACATGTGTATGAAAAGGTGAACTAAACCAAGCTCACTATTATTGTCCAAGCTGAAGAATGTGCCAAAGCATGAGCAAATCTATCCATGCAGATTACTCTGCAGATAAAGCATATGAGCGCATCTGAGTTGTGTCAGTGCCACCTGTTGTTGCTCAGCTACTTAGCTGACGTAAGCCACAGAGGGCAGTAAAGCTTAGACAGCTTAGTTCAGTGACCCCATAGAAGAGGTAACTACTGCAAAGAAAGGGAAGAGAGGGGATAAACAAACAACCATCAGAACTACACATAAAAGGATAAATAGACCACTAGTCAAGATGGATTTATATCTAGAGCAATATTTTCTTTTTTTATATCTGAATTTTTTTCTTTTACCAAGTTTTTAAATGGATATTCCACACCGAAGTGAAATTTAGTCAGTTGCCATATTCTATAGAGTTCAGTCCAGTCATCCTCCTATTGGGCAGTATTCCGTTATCTTTAGCTTAGCGTAAACAATGTAAGTGAATAGTAACAGCTAGCATTTCATGTGAATACATCAAGAAAATTACTCAATAATTATCTTTATTTTTCTTGGTGAACTCAGTAATCACATCTACTGCAAATTAAAATCTGTAACATGGAGAAATTATGAGAGACATTTTTGACTTGGGAATGCATAATGACAAAGCACCGATTGTAGTGAACCCAGCCAGACAATGGTGAAGCGTACTGATGTTTCTCAAGGTATTTTTATTTATGTTCAGCTGGCATCCTTATTTTGAACATAAATCCACCTTTTCTTTCTTGAAACACCGTAAGATCTAAATAAAACAGATAAATGAAATTATAATGAGCTCTTACAAAGATGACCTTTATGCCATATGACCATTTACAATATTATTGAATCTACATTAATAGTAGGTTGAGTGAGATCAAAAATGTGCATAAACATGTTAAAAGCTAAAACCAATATTAAAACTAAGTCAAAGCATGTGAAACACACAAAGGCTAATATTAGCATGGGTGTTCACCTGGCTCTATGGTTGATATGGCTGTTAGCATTGTTCTGCATTTAACCACTTTAAACACAACAGCATACATAGAAAATCCCATCAATCCACATAAAACACATGCATCAA